GTATTGAACAACAAAATAAACAAGTTTTCCAAAAATCATGGCCAAAAAAATTATTAATCATTGCTTATGCCTTGTTAATCTTTACAGCTTTAGTTGAAAATTTCGCTGCAAGTTCAACATCAGGGCTTAGTTCATATGCTACATCTTCTTTTAATGCTCATTCATTAATCGCTACAGCTGCTGTTGTTTATAAGATCTCTGCAATTTGTGCTTATCCAATCTTAGCCAAATTAGCAGATTTTTTAGGTCGTGGTGAAGGTTTTGGTTTAGCTATATTTCTTTATGCTGTTGCTTATATTCTTTATGCTGCTTGTCAAAATGTTGAAACTTATATCGTTGCAGAAATTTTTTATGCAATTGGTAGAAATGGTTATAGATGTTTCCAACAAATTTTCATTGCTGATACAACTTCTTTAATTAATAGAGGTATTTGGTCACAAATTCCTGGTGCTTTAACTGCTATCCCTTCACTTTATGCTGGTTCTGAAATCTTGGATCAAATCTTGGAGAATTGGACTTGGAGATGGGGGTATGGTATCTTTGCTATTATCATTGGTGTTTCCATGATTCCATTAACTGTTATTATGACTATTTTAGATAGAAGAGCTAAAAGATTAGGTTTTAGAAAACATGTTAAAATCTTGGATAATATTCCAAAGGATGTTCCGATGTGGAAAAAGGTCTATCACTTCTTATTTATTGAATTAGATGTTTTCGGTGGTATCTTATTGATTGCAGGTATGGCTTTGTTCTTTGTTCCATTCACATTAACCGGTAAGAGTTCATCTTATAGATGGAAAGATGGTGATTTAATCGCAATGATTGTTATTGGATTTGTTCTATTTTGGTGTTTTATTGCATGGAATGCAACTTCACAACATAGACCAATCCGTAATAGAAAACCATTTGTCCCACCACAATCATTAACTAATAGAACTGTTGTTATTACTTTAATCATGGTTGCATTAGATTTATGTGAAAATTCATCATTTGCAACTTATTTCCAAACTGTTTTACAAGTTGGTGGTTATTATACCGCTGGTGAAGCTAAAAGAATTGATAATTCCAAAAAAGTTACTATTGATATTGCATCAGTTGCATGTGGATTAGTTATGAAATATACTAAAAAATCTAAAATTTTTGTATTAATTGGTGTTCCATTTTTAATTATGGGTCATGGTTTATTAGTATTTTTCGTTAATAGAAATGGATCTATGGAAAGTTATGCCCTTTTAGTTACAATGGAAGTTTTCATTGGGTTTGGTAGAGCTTTATATCAATGTGCTTTACAAGTTTCAATCCAAGCTATTGCCGGTGTTGAAGGTATCGCAATGTCAACTGCTTTCTTTATGGCTTTTAATTCTGTTGGTTCTTTAATTGGTTCAGCAATTGCAGGTGGTATTTGGAATTCAATTTTAGTTTCAAAATTAACAAAATATTTACCTGTTGATGAACAAAAAAATGCATCAAAGATTTATAAATCAATTAAAGTTGCATTAAAATATAAGAAAGGTTCTGTGGAAAGAATTGCAATTTCAAAAGCTTATAGAGAAACTATTCAAATTATTGGATGGGCTGGTTTAGGTATAATAGCACCAATGTTAATATTGATGTGCTTTATTCAAGAAGTTAAATTAACTGATCAAAAGGATATTTATGGTAATGAAGGTGAAGAATTTGAAAATTCTGGTGATGTTATTGTTAATCCTCTTGTTAAGAATGAACAACAACCTATTGTTCCAATTGAAAAGAAATAGAATCCTGTACTTGTGTATATATATAAAAAGTTTTGTTTTTCCTATGTTCAGGTCGTCATATAGAGTTTATACAATTTAATAATTAATATATTATTCTAGTTTTGTATTATTAACATGTAGTAGTATTTATACATGAGAGTGTCTTTAATTAATAAATGGAATATAAACAGATGCAGTTTTTCTATAATCTTCATATTTTTCACCAAAAAATTTGATAAGGAATTTTTCTTCAAATTCTATTCTATTTTTAAAGAAAAACCACAAGATTAAAATGAATCCCACAATTGAAATTGGATTAACTAATACTAATTGAGTCCCCACGGCCCACCAGAAAAATCCTGTATAACTTGGATGTCTAAAAACTGAATAAATCCCAGTTGTAACTAATTCATGATCATCTTGACGATTTATTGAAATTAAATGACTAAATGATTTACCAGCAGTAATCATTGCCCAACTTCTTAATATTTGACCAAAAATAACAAGTAATACACCCAAAGTTTTAACTAAAGGATAAGATTTTTTAAAATTTGGGAAAAAATAAAATTCAATTGCAACTTCAATTATTGCAATTGTATGAGCTAATGTATATGATGAACCATTATTTATAATGAATGATTCCTTGTGAACTTTTCTAGGGTTATATTTTGCTGTAACAAAAAACTCTAAGAAATGAAATAATGATAATGACATTAAATAAAACGCTGGTGGTTTATACGATGAGAAGACTGAAACCCCCAAGGCAAATCCAAATAGTATACCTAAGTTCATTGCAGTTGTTGCAATTTCTTCTGGTGGATTTTTCTTGATATCTGGTAATAATGAATCATTAGATTTTGTATCATCTTCACCTTCTTGTTCTTCATCTTCTACTTCTTCATCTTGATTACTTGATTGAATAGAAGTATTTTCTGTTTCTGTTTTTGAATCTTGAGAAATATCAATTGAAGCTGATTCAGATTTCACAGAATCATTTTGAATTGGTGATGAAATATCAGATTTTAATGAATCTGATCTATTAAGTTTTTTATTAATTGAACGCATAGTTTTCTTTAATGACATTTTGAAATATTAACAACACCAACACCAAATGAGACCAAACGAGACTTAACCAAGCTTATATATATATACCAATCCCACAACCAAATTATCAAAAACTAACGTATCCAAAGTTTCAATATTTCAATAACCTCATTTCAAAATTAGCTTAATAAATGTCAAAAATGGTTCAAAATGTCAAATGTTTATACCTAATCCGGACCGAACAATCAAAAATGAAAAAAAAAAATTAAAAAATCAGTTCTTAACTATGGGAAAACCAGGAAATACATAGATATTGACGCATAAGACAGTTGAATTAAACTGAATATTAGTATAATAATATTATCAAACCTCAAATTAACTATAGACCATGTCAAAATCAACTTAACTTTTGTTTACTATGAGTTACACAATTCCGACCATCACAGTCACATGATATTCACGTGTACCAGATTTTACCCTCGAATATTCCCTTTTTTGAAATCCCAGCTTTTGAAATCCCACATAAGCTGCTCAATTTTGCTAAAGTTTAGCACTGCGCCCTAATTAAATAACCATTAGGCTGTATACTGATTGTTATTTTCACAGTTGAAAGCATATCAGGTTATTTGAATCTGAGTTTAATAGATTATTGTCTGGTTAGAGTTGAGAAATTTGTCATAACTGTTTGGTTGGTGATTATATCTGGTTGTTTGTGATTAGTGATTAATACTCGTTTAAAAATTGGGTACATACTGGGCTGAGCGTTGATATAAATTACTTACATTATATTTGGGAAAGTAGAAGGACCCTGGAAATTGAATTCTTTTATTACGTGGTTAAAGTTGGATTTGTGTTGAAGTTTATTGATCTTAGCAATTAATCATTCCGATACATCCATATCAATATAAATCATATATTATACATAAATTACAACATATTTAAACATATCATTTTTCATAATATATAATGGGGAAAGCTGCATCAAAATTATCAAAAGATGAATTAACATCATTGAAAAAATCAACATATTTTGATAGACGTGAATTACAACAATGGTATAAAGGTTTCTTAAGAGATTGTCCATCAGGTCAATTGACAAAAACTGAATTTATTAAAATTTATAAACAATTTTTCCCCTTTGGTGATCCAACTGAATTTAGTAATTATGTTTTCAATGTTTTCGATAATGATAAAAATGGTACTATTGATTTTAAAGAATTTATATGTGCTCTAAGTATTACAAGTCGAGGTTCATTAGAAGAAAAATTAGTTTGGGCTTTCCAATTATATGATTTAAATAATGATGGGAAAATTAGTTATGATGAAATGTTGGCAATTGTTAGTTCTATTTATAAAATGATTGGTTCAATGGTTAAATTAAATGAAGATGAAGCAACTCCTGAATTAAGAGTTCAAAAAATCTTTAATTTAATGGATAAAGATCAAAATGGTGAAATTAGTTTAGATGAATTTAGAGAAGGTTCTAAGATTGATCCAAGTATTGTTAGTGCACTGAATTTATATGATGGATTAGTTTGAAATTATTCCTTTATTTAACATTTAATGACATTATAATATTTTGTTTGTTTTTTTTGCCCCTTCTAACCATTGCTTGTGTTTTACTTCTTTTAATTTCTATCAAGTTTAATTGTATTATCTTAATAAAAAGGTGTTTTTAGAGAAATACATAAAATTGTAGGTTATATTTACAAGTCATATATATTATTTCCATGAGAGTTGTTATTATACACGTTCTGCAGTCCATATAGCTAATTTACAAGTTCCTTTAATAACTTCAGTTAATAACCAATAAGGAACAGCAGCTTCAGCATCATTTTCCACAGCAGTATCTAAATGTTCTAATTCATCATCTCTAAATTCTTTAATAGTTTTTTTCAATGAATTTAATTCTTCACTTTCAATACCATTTATAATTTCACCAGTATTTAAATCTTTTGCATCAATTTGAAATTTATTCATTAAAATTCTTAATTGATCATTATAATGTCCACCAATAACAGTTTCCACTGCAACAGTACAAGCCATTGCAGCTTCTTTACCCAATAGAGCAGTGGTAATACCAATCCCAAAAGCACCAGCTCTCCATACGGGAGTCAAAAGTGATGGTCGTACTCTTCTAATAACTTGTAATTTATTAAATGTATTATGATGATGAATTTCTTGATCCCACATATGTTTTAATAAATCTTTTAATTCAGGTCTTGTATGTTGTAATACAAAATATTGGCCTGCATAGATATAATTAGCACCTAATTCACCAGCTTGATCAACTCTTATAACTCTATCTAAAAATGCCTTTTGTGCTTCATTTAATGGACCATATTGATATTGTTTAATTTTTAAATTTGGGGTTTCAGGTTCTTGTGAAACGGTTTGAGTTTCCACTTTTGCTCTCAATTGGGATAAAGTTGAGAATTTACAATTCTTTGGTAATGTTTTAATAACTTTTGACATGATTATGGTTGACAATTCAGGGGTTATGACTGTTGTTGTAATGGATATTAAGATACTCCTTTAAATTAAAAACATTCGATTTTCAGTTTATACGAAAAAAAGTTTTCGCGGGTACTTAAGGTATCAACTAACAATTTCAGTATCATCAATTAAACTGAATTGAAATGATTAGATATGGTAATTGTGGTTATTCAATTTATATTGACTCTGAAGCTGAGTATATGTTGATATATATGAGCTTAAAGGACCTACATATAATATCATAATCATAATGTCATATAAGTTCATAAATAAATAGCAATGTGTAATAACACTTATTTGATGTCAATCATTTTGATGATACCATACCTTGTAAGAAACTTGTTGAAGAGTGGGTTTCTTTAAAAATATTAATCATTTGTCTTCCAACTTCAAATGATAATTCTTGAGTATCTCTTGAATTTGTAACAGGTTTCAGCTCAAAAGTATTTGTAAAATTATTTGTTGATTGGAATTTTAGATGTTTCAAATATAAATTTGAAATATCTTTAATAATTAACCATTGAATTTTAAAGTTCCCCTTCCATCTAGTTCCATCAAGCCAAACATTTTCATTTTCATGACCATCAGGATTTAATCTTAAACTTGATTTCATTTCTGCAACTCCACAAAATTTTCCTGATCCATTAACAGAAAATAATAAGAAGATTCGTTCATTTGAATATTTATTATTAAAAGCTTTTGCTAATCTATTATTTCCAATATCTGTTGATGACCAAATTTTATGAATAAATGAAGAATTTATATCTTGTTGATTAAATGATTTAATAACGAAAAATCTTGAACCAACAGGGATCGAAATAATTGAAGATGATAATACCAGTGGTTGATTTTCATCTGAGTTGTTGTCCTTGTTCTGGGGCAGTGGTACTGGTTGTTGATATGTATTCAGTTGCTTTATATTTTGTTTGGGGAACTTGGAACGTTGTTTATGCAGTTGAATAAATCGTTGTTGATTTATAAGTTTCCTCTCCTTCTTTATCAGATCTTGTTGTTGTTTCTGTTGTTGCTGTTGTTGTTGTTGTTGATGCTGCTTGTATACTTGATGATAAGTTTGATTTGCAAAATGCCAATTAGATTCCACAAGGTTATAATTTGAATTAGTTAACAATGGAGACAGTGAAGAATTAATAAATTCCATTGAATCATCCACTTTAGGTGAATACTCTTGTTTAGAAATCTCCAGCTTTACCATCTTATTCATTTCTTCTAATTCATCTTCAACATCATCACATTTGTATAAATCCTTATAATTAACTTTACCGCCCAGGGGAAACTTATCATTCTGATCATCATCAAGTTGTAATTCTTGAACTCCCTGGTCCAAGTCTTTAAACCAACTGTTTTCAAAGCCAATTGCCACCATAGTTACCAGCGTTGTTCAATAAATTATGATTAACCGCCATCATAATAAAATAATCAAAATGAAATCAAAATTCAAATTGAGATTTCTCAAATCATTTAAATATTTAAAATTAGCCGCTGACTTTATAAAATTAATTAATTATTGTTTATCTCAATTACGTCAAAAATTACATAATCACAAACAATCACATGTAATTTCGCGAATTCTATGAAACTAATAAATAATTTTCAAGGAGAAAAAAGTTTTTCTTATGGATTTTTTTATTTTTTACATTTTGGATTATGGAAATTTTTAAATCTGTTTTGATAAATGGGCCTCATATATATTGGTTAACGCAGGGCTTTCTCTCTTCTCTGCAGTGGAGACAGCCCTGTGATTGTATTTTTTTATGATAGATATTGTTTTGTTTTCTCACATACTCCTTAAAACCATTACAACAATTGAATGAAAGTATTTCAATTAGTTTGGTGTGGTTAGGAAAGTTATTTTAGAATTTTGACATGGCTATTGGGTTGGCCGCCTCTATTGGTACGAGGTTTGTTTGAGATGTTATATATAACAATGAGGTATGTCTGGTTTTGGCTCTCTTTAGGTCCTCCTTTTGTCATTGGGAGGTCCTTTATTGGGGGAGAGCTGTTTTTCCATGGTATTTTCCCTTATATTGTTTTAACACCTATTATGGTTTTTACTAACCACACAGGACTTTTGATTTATGAATAATCATTGAAAGTTTTGGTATTTTAAAATTGATTATGGTATGAAATTTATTTCTATATTATGATCTAAATATACAACATTGTTATTGACATTGATTCATAGAGATTGCTTACAAATTATTTCTTGTCTTTGTTACATAATGATGATTCTTCTTTTCAAATATGGAATTTGTAGTTTATTTATAGCATTCTTCTTATTGTGTCAAATGTATTTAATTTATATGCAACCACTATAAAGCTTTTCTCGAAAAAAATGTTTATTTAGCCTAAATGAGCAAGAAAATACTAATTATATGGCAATTAATACCCATTAAAGTACAACAACATCAACACAGAGACAAACACAACAAACACTATACACTATGAGCTCTACTATACAATGATTCACTTTACATTAATTATCTTACTCCTGTTATCAATTTTAACAATGGCAAAGGAAACAATACCACAAGATTTATATGATGATTTGACAGCATATGCTAACTTAATGGATATAGCTTATTGTATATCACCAATTTCCAAAATTGAATCACCATTTCAATGTAATAATAATTGTTCTTCATTTCCAAATATGCAAATTGTTCAACAATGGACTTCAGATGATTTTAATCTTGGTCCATTTATACCCATAGATTATACTATGCCTTATAATTTCAAAACTACAGGTTATATCGCAATTGATCATGAAATGAAAATCATTGTCTTAGGGTTAAGAGGTACAAGATCTTTTAAGGATACATTGATTGATATAAATTCAGATATGATTAATATTTATGATGTTTGTATTGGTTGTAAAATCCATAGAGGTTTTTATAAATCATTTGGAAAAACTTGGGATAATATTGGTTATAATTTGAAAACTTTAATTCAAGGTAATCCAGGTTATAGAATTATAATTAATGGTCATTCATTAGGTGGTGTTATTGGAATCTTATTAGGTGTTGAAATTCTCAAGTTTGAAGATAATTTACTTTGTATTACAATGGGTCAACCAATGATTGGTAATAAATTTTTAGCAAGTTTTATTAATCAAGTATTTAACTTAGATGAAAACAAATTCATACCTGAACATCAGGGTGCAAAATTAATTAGAGTTACACATAAAAATGATCCAATTGTGAAATTACCATTAAATAATGATGGATTTTATATCAAAAATGAATATAAACATTGTTCAAATGAAATTTTTATAAATGAAGAACAAAATTTTGGTAATTTACCATCAAGAGAAAATATTTGGTTTTGTCAAGGTTGGAATGATTTAGATTGTTCTTATGGTATGTCTTTAACTAATGATAATTCTGAACATTTAAATTATTTTAGAACAATGGGGAAATGTGGAATATGATCTGATACTATCTTCTGAATTTAAATTTTGGTGTTTCATCATCATCATCATCTGAATCACTTTCATCTTGATGTTGATTTTGAGGTTGAAATTGAATATCATCATCAGATTCTTCAATAGGAATTGGTTGACTTGATTCAATTGCATTATTTTGTTTTTCAATTTCATTAGGTTCTTTATCCAATTGTCTTCTAAATTCAGGTACATCATTTATATAATCTTTTCTTATATTCATATTTAATCCATCATTAGAATTTTCATCGTCTGAATCATCATTATCAACAAATAATTTATTCTTGGATATTGTAGGTTGTTGTAATGAATGATTATCAATTAATGTTGGTTGTCTTAATGTATCATTCTTAAATGAAAATGTATTTTTCCGGTGTTCTTCTTCTTCATCATCATGTTGTTCTTGATTATTGGGATTAATACCTTTTAAAAATTCTAAATCTTGTTTATATCTAACATCTTGCCTCTTTGGATCATATTCATTCATTGTTATGAATTCTCTTGTAATTAAAAAACTTTGATCTTTAAATTTATTAATTTTTTTAGTATTTTTAATAAAATTTTTAAAATTTTTCCTACCTTTCCATTGAGGATTATTATTATTTTGATCATTATCATTAATTGATTTGTTTTGACGTAATGGTATGTCAATCACTTCCACTATTGCAAGGTCTTTTAATTGTTCCACTGTATCCATTGTATCTGCCCCATCATGACCGAATTGAGTGTTTATACGTTCTGTTGCTGATCTTTTGGCATCTAATACAGCTGTATGAAATGATTTTTGTCTTATTGGCGGTTTTTGATCAAGTGTGGAGTTATTAGGTTTAGTTCCAGGTTTTGATTTAGGTTCTTGAGTTTCTGGTGCTTGTTCTTTTTCTTTTTCTTGTGGAATTTGAGTTTCAATATTACTATTCAAACTTTCAGGTATTGGAGTCATTTGATAATTTGTATCCAACATTTGATTTTCTAAAGGTTGAATCCTTGTTCTTTGTTTCTTTTTCTTTGGTTGTTCATCATTAATTGAATCTGGAGTTGCTTGAACTTCTGGAGTTTCTTGAACTTGTGTTTCAGGTTTAGCTTTTGGAGCTTGTGATTCAATTTGACTTGATTCAATTTTACCACCACCAGCGAAGTAATCTAAACTATCTAATGCTTTAACTTTTTTAACACGTCTTCCAATTTTTTGCTTCTTGATTGGTGGTTGAACATTAGTGTCATCTGTGGTTGATTGATTTTTAACAATTCTTTTACGTAACAAAATTTCAAGATTTATATCTTTAACACTATTGAAAATATCTTCAGTTGTAATTAAATATTTCCCCAAGTTTTTAGCACATTCATTCATAATAATATGTTTATGATGGAATTCAGAATCTGGATCTTTCATAGATTTTAAAAAATTTGATTCTTGAGATTGTAATTGAACAAGAACAATATGATCTGGATCATCTAATGATTCAATAAATTGTACAAGATCTTGAGCTGTTGAATTCTGGGTTATATCAAATAATAAACACGAAGCACCACCAGTTTCTAATATCCCACCAATGGATTGTTTTTGAGATAAATCACCAAATATAAATTTAATTTTGGAAAAAATTGATAATCTTTCATGTCGTACTTCAGTTTCAGAACTTGTTAAAGAATTCTTCCAAGATGGGATATTTGAATCATAATTGCTTGTTAATAATTCTTTTTGATCAATTATGTCAGATAAAAAACTTGGTTTAATTATAGGTATCCCACTAATTAATGCAGTTAAACTAGTTGTTGAAATATCCAGATTTGAACTAATTAAATGTGTAGTATATGACGTGAATTTTTGTGTAAATTCTACATCAACCTTCCTCAAAGCATCAAAGTCTAGGTCCGATGAGCTGTTGACCTTGAAAGACCATGGAATCCTATCAAATTGTAATATTTGAACACCTCTTCCCAATATAACTTGTATAGATTTTGATGATTTCCTAACAATAGGTAATTCTCTTTCTGATTCAGGTAAATGTTTCTTATTAATCTTTTCATCACCAATCATAGCACTAGAACCTAATAAGGTGATTTGTAAATCAGATGGTTCATTTGAATCTTCATTATTCTGTAGTATTTCCAATTCAAGATGATTTTTAGATATTTTAGATGATTTAAAATGGAAATTTGATCTTTCTGCTCTTCCTAAAGTGTATTTCTTGCTGGGATCAAGCCAATGCGAATGTGTCTCTGTTCCTTCACCATTGTCCACTGTGTACCGTAGTACCCACATACTCTTGAAACCTGGTTTCTTTATCGATTCAAAATTGATTAATTTAAAGCTTTTTGAATTTTAAGAGTTCGTGTTTTGAAACGTATATAAGGTCGCGAAAAAAACATATCAAATATAATCAAGATATTACAAAATTTTGAATTGTGATATTTTGTGTATGTGTATTGTAGATCACTTATGAAGCTGATATTAAGCTATTTGCTGGTGTTTTGTGTACTCTGTGTTTCTTTTTCTGGGAAAATAGCATTAAAACTCGACCCATTAAGAAATTGTTCCACGAAGAGGTTGATCATAAGGGCATCTTTCCCATGTAATCCATGGTGTCAATGATTCATCATGGTCTGATCAATAACACTCTCCATTTGATCCTTGTTTTTCTATATTTCAAATTAGCCTATGCTTTTCTGTTGTTCATGAACGTTCAGGACTTTTATCTCTAACTTTCTCTTCATCTTTATCCCTTTTCCCACGTTTCAACTCCAAATCAGAATGAACAAAAGCATAATCAATACTCAATATATGACCCAAAAGTTCTTCACCATCACCTTCTTGTACTGCCCTTATAGCATTTTGTAACTCAGTATATTCAATCAATGCATAACCTTTAACATAACCAGTTTGTCTATCAAGGTTTAAATGAATATTCTTCACTGGGCCAAATTCTTCAAAAAATTCTTGAACATCTTCTTCTGTTGCTTCTTCATGAACATTTTGAACGATTATAACATAACCTTCTATAGATTTGGCTATTGGGATTCCTTGTTTTGTTGTAGGGATTGTTGATGTTGATGGTTCTAATTTGAAAGTGTTAGTATATGAATATTTGAGCTTTTGACGAGCTAAAAAAAGAACATACGATCAACATCCATGGCTTCTCCAGCATCAGACATCTTAAATTAAGATTTGTTGAGATCAATTGGTGTAGATTGTTGTTGAATATAAGTTGAGTATTTTTGTTTTACTATATAGATTTGAATTTTTCATTCTCGGGATACCAAATTTGAGATTCAATTCGCTAAGAAATGGAACATATAATATAGTTAGATTTCAAGTTTTAATATTGTCAACTCAGTTCAAAGTTTCAGCTATATATTCTACAAACAGTAATACGATAACATATTATTATTCCATATATTTTGAATATTTAACCAGATCTCTATATATTAAGTTTAAAAAAAATTCAATGCAACTGAAAATGAAAGACCAGGTTTTGCATTATCTTGACTTCTATCACTTAATGGGAAATTATAAGATAAATCTAAAACTGCATTTGGTGATTTATAAGCTAACCCTAAACCTGTACTAATTGCACTATTCTTAATCAAATCACCAGAGTTTTGTGTTAATTTTTGTAAAAATTCCAAATTATTATTATAATTAAAATTATCACCAATATTTATATAATTATATAATCTTAATGGTGATTTATTTGAAATGTTTGGAATTTTAGAGAAAAATGTTAATCCAGTTTTGAAAAAAGATGAACCACCAATATAATCATTACCATTTTTCAAACCAACAGAATTTAAATGGAAACCTTTTAATGATTCATTACCACCTAAATGGAAACGATCATTAATATGGATGGATTTATTAGAGTCAAGGGAATGGATTGAACCAATTTGGAAATCAAATAATGTAGTAAAATTATTATTTAAAAATGATTTATAATTTTCAAATTTTAAAACAGATTTATTAAATTTATTTAATTCAGAATCTTCTTTATTTTGTGAAATTGAATCAATACTATTATTGAAACCAGAAAATTCATTTGTTAAATCAAATTTAACCCCATTAATTGGGAAACTACCAATTTTTTCAATTGAATCATATTTTAAATTTGATATAATTCCAATTTTAACATCATCACCCGCATCTGCACGAATTGAATCAGATGCACTATTACTAATATCTCCAATAGTTCTATTTATAATGGAAACACCATTTGTTAAGATGAAATTGTTTTTATCTAACGATAAATTTTTTTGAATACCCAAGAATCCACCTCTTGAAAATTGTGTATGTGAAGCCCAAGATTTTGCATCAATTGATGAAATAATTGGATTGAAAATAGCTCTATAGGATGGTGAGTTCTTAAAAGGAGTTAATATAGTTAAATCCCATATTTTTTTATTAAGTGTTTTGTTTAAAGGATCATAATTTAAATTAATATCAATTAATAATGATGATGCATTTTTCAAAAAATTTGGATCTAAATAACGGAATCCAGTTGATGCATCATAATCAGTACTTGTTGAATAGCTTGAAAATTTAAATTGTGGTATTTGATTTAACTTAATCTTAGCAATAATTGGTATACTTTCACCTTTTTCATGAAAGAAATCATTTTTGGAAATTTTTATTAATGAATTTTCATCTAAATCAACATTTATTGAAATATCTTTGAAAAGCCCGGAGTATTGTAAATGTTCTCTTAATTTAATCAATTCAGAATTTAAATCTTTCAATGGAATGGCTTGACTAGTTGATAAAATTGGATTCAATAATGAATTATAATAATTATCAGAAAATTCACCACCTTCAATTTCAATTTTTTTCAATTCAACTGGTTTAGTTGTTTGATTGTTTAATGTGTTTAATTGTTCCTTATGTTGTAATTGTTCATATAACCGATCAGCTGACATTTTGTAGAAGTATAATTGACCTGGAAAAGCAATTGATGTTATAGATCTCAATATTCACATTCTTCCCATTATAATGACCCAAATTGATTCGTTGAAAAAGCCGACAATATCGAATGAAGTGGTGTTTGGATGTTTATGATTCCAGGTCGCGAATTACATAATCAATACTATAGATAATTAATACCAATTTTTGCAATGTTTGTGAATCTTTGTTCTTTAGAACTTGTTAGAAGAAGATTCGATTGAAGGTATATAAAAGAAGAAGGGACATTCATAATATCTATACATACTCTATTGTTTTCTTCAAAAGTCCAACATGGAAATCTCTTGTAGCATATATCCCATCTTCTAAAGCTTCACCTTTAACTTTACCATTCTCATCAATTCTCAATAATACCTTTTCACCAATCTCTATGAATCCAAATTGTGTATAATATGGAATTAATTGATGTTCAACAATTACTGATGCAAATAAAGAATCAACTTTTGGTTCAGTTGTTTGTCTAGCTTTAATTTCCAATTGATTTATAAGAAATTTACCAACACCTTTAACAAATGATGTGAATCCTGTGATTTCCCATCCAAATGATGTGTCTAAATGCTTTGCCTTTGCTGCAATTGTCCCAAGGATTTGTGATTCTTCGATATTGTTGAATGATAATGTATTATCAGCAATTACATGATTGATATCCCCATTTGAAAGATCTTTTAAAATCTTTGTTGAATCTTCATCTGACTCTCGGATAAGAAGCAAAATAAATGAACCTTTAGCTTGGATTCCTAGATCTTCAATAAATATGTTTTCATTCTTAATTCTTGTTGATGTAATGACGTTGAACTTATGTTTAACAACATCATAACCTGTATTAAGCACCTTGGTTAAGAATTTGATTGATTCATGAGAATTTGGTGATTCTTGAAGGACAGTTCCAGGGATTTGAAGTAAAGTGGGACTCATTAATGGTGTTATTCAATACTATATATCAATCATGAGATCAGAAACCCAAACCACCGGGAACCATTGTTGTTTTATACCCATGAATAAGATTCGAATTGAACTGCAGAACGTCGCGGATCTGAACACGGCCGTAACTTTACCTGAATTAGGAACTAGTAGCGCTTTCGCTCCTTTTGGCTTTTGACGACTGTATAACTAACTTATGGCTCATGGCTAGAAAGAACACTACTTATTCAAATAAACTAATAATATATAACATTAAAATAAGACTTAATAATCTTTAACTAAAACACAAAATAAAATTTAATATACAAATCATAAACTTGCCATCCATAATGAATCAGAAGCAGCTAAATGTCTTGGGTTAACAGCTTGTTGAATCAAATCTAAGATATGTTGAGTAGTAACAGAACTTGCACTATTAACATTACATAATTGTTGAACTCTTTTCAGGATTAATTCAACATTGACACGAACAATTTCACGTAATTGAGGTTCATCTGCAGATGGACGATGTTGTTGAGTAAACCAAGATATAGCTTCATCACGAACAAATAATGGTAAGAAAGTTTCTAATTCTGATTCCGGTTCTGTTAATGCCTTAGAAATTAATAAAACATGGACTGATAAAATACCTTCTAAACCAGCTTCACCAATTAATGTTTGAATATTTGGTGTTAATCTAAATGGAACACTTTCTGCATTGAAGAAAATTGGTGCTGCACGTTGTGCTGAAACATCTAATCCACTATTTGCATAAAAATTGGTATTAGTTTTACTACTTGCCAGTTTAGTTGGCAGCATTTCAAATGTTGTAACTGCACCTGATTTCCCATTGATACTAATCTTATGAGGTTGACGATTATTAATACTCATCATATAAGTCATAAAAATAAATGAAGCATATTGTGAAGTAAATTGTTTACGGAACAACCAAAAATCTTCAAATTTAGTGTATAACCCAGCATAGTAATTTTTAACAAGTTTATTTGGAACAATTAATGATTGAATTGCACTTAAAATTTCAACTCTAATACTCATAATGTCTGGTTTTGGAAGATGAGGATCATAAGCAGCTCTCATATTTTCATTATAATATAATAATGGTTGATCACGATTCATTTTGTTCTTTCTGCAATAATCTTCATAAATTTCTTGAAGTGAAGAAACAGCTTCATTATCATTCATAATACGAATGTGTGGTGACAATGGAATTGCAATTGGTAAAGTCAATTGAATGTTGCGACGACGTGTTTGAACTTTTCTTGATAATGTATCATTGAATATTCTGTATAATTGGAATATTCTTTCTTCACGTCTACAATGACGTGCAGCTGGGAATTGAACAGCAAATGGATGCAAGCTACCATCATGACCACGAATTTTGATACGTTTATAACAAGCATGTGTACCTCTAACCAATTGTAATGTAGGTAAGAAACGTTCAATCTTAATAAAATGTGAATTATTGTCTTTATTCAACAAATATTGACCTGGAACTTCAATATCTTCAAATTTTTGGTGATGAAATTCACTTAAATGTGGACAAACACTTTCAAGATTAACACTAGAGAATCTGCGATCTAATTTATCTTCTAAACGATCTCTCCATTTTCTTAACTTGGTTATATAAGTTTCCAAATTTGGTTTTGAAGAAACAAAATCCTTATCAAATTCAGCTCTAATATGTCTTGGTAAAACAGTATCTGCAAATCTAGTTATATTGGCCTCAGTAGTTGGTGGCAGCTTAGCATCTTCTCTTGGATTTGGTAAACGATTTGAGTATTGAATACCATCATTCAATAATGCAATGACCAACCTATAAGCATCTTCATCTGCACTGCATTTGAATCTTTGATTAATTTGATCAACAAGCGATTCTAATGATAAGGCCAACAATGGATAAGCAGTTTTCAAAATACCCATTATTTCTTCCACATATTCCCAAGGTTGACGAAGACCAGTTGAAGCAGGACGTGGTGGTTCTGCTTGAGCACCATTTTGACGATTAGCAACAGCCATTGCTTGTCTTTGAATAACAGCAAAATCTTCTTTTGTGGTTCTCAATTGGAAATGTAAAGCTTGAGGATATGTTTTAGCAATACGAATTAAAATTTGACGTACCAATTTAGCTTCTTTATGTGAAAGTGATGTTAATAATTGTGGAATGAAAGTGATCCAGTACCAAACAGGAACTTCACCTCTATAAGATTCAAACGCTGATGATAATGTTCCAGTTGAATCATCTAAACTTATCAACCACAAAATACGACACAATAATTTTCTTGCTTTACCATTCTTGTATAAACCAGCAGCTTGTAAATAACAACTGATTGCATTATTTGCATAAATCATTTCTGTTGGATTTTCTTTTGAACGACGATCATTGAAATGACCCCATTCAGCCCAAGCTTTAGCCAGATTTAGATCAATTTGAACAGCAGTTGCAAATGCTTGATTAGCCTCATCTTGAGCCTTCAGTTTGGAGAGGAACATACCTTTCAAAGTGAAAAACTCAGCCTTTTGTTGAGTTGCAAAATAGACCAAATTAGTATTGCTGATGACATCAAGACCAGTGTTAAGCTCATTGACATTTTGATAATGACATTTTGCTTGTTCCCTAAGTTTTAGGAAAGCTTCTTGAATTTCAATGTTTGGTAATGTATAAATTTTAGTCAATTGACTAATACAAACATCAGGCATATTGTGTTTACGAGCAACATGTGCAAATCTATTGATGACCCAAGCAATTTCATGATAACCACGGTAAGCATAACTGTTGGCATTGGAGTTACCATTAGCTTGTTGTAATGCTGGAATAAATGGCATATAAACCTTGTTAATAACACCAAATGCATGTTGACGCCAAGTAACAAGATCGTTCCAGATATTGATATCATCCCAAACATTAGGTAGACGTTCTCTCCAAGCTTGTAGCACTCTTTTCAGCTCTTGTGATTTATTGTCCAAGTTTTGAGCATTTGTAGTTAACAAAGAACCGTAGACTTGACTTGCTTCCATAAATTCAACATATTGTTGGAAACAATGTAACAAAGGAATATGTGCATTGCTAAATCTCTTTGGAAGAGCATGCCATTTACGTAAAGCTGATTGAATACCTTCATCACACAGTTTGGAAAGATCTTGCAGAGTTTCTTTCTGTTGAGCATATCCTTGAAGACACAGGAATGTTTCAAAGATTTGGCGACGAGGTGTTGGTACATCCATAACAGTCTTAACAGATTGTTCCAAAGGTTCTTTGTCCGCAGTCCAATCAGCAACACGCCATCCACATTCAAGTAGTAAATCAGTGAAACCTTCATGTTTAGCTAATTCTGTTAAAATATCCCAATGTTGAAGTTTTTCAGCACACAAAATCCAATTGTCTTCCCACAATGAATATTCAGATTCACCATATGGCAAAACACCACTTCTGGCCTTTATTTGAGCAGCTTCATACAGTTGCAGGGCTTTATCCCAAAGACCAACTTGTTCATAAGAGAGCGCAGCACCAGTTTCGAAGTACTTAGCACGTCTTCTCCATTGACCATAGAACATATCATCTTCTTGAAGAGTGGCATACATTTCAATTAAAGCATCTTGATTTGTTTCACGAACAATTGTGTTTTCTACCAGTGGTTCATCTTCAATTGATTCTAAATGATCCAAAGCTTGGTACCAAGAGTCGAAACTATTACCAAGATATTTAATCAAGTGAGGTGGTAATTGAAGATCAGGACATTTGTTAATCCCTTCCAATAATGATTGTATGACATTTGGACGTGCATCAGCTTGACGAGTATGATAATCTTTTGACAAAAGTGAAACCATCGCTTCTTTGAAACTTGTTTTCTCTCTGCGAGTAACAGAAGCATAAGCAGCTGGGAAAACGTTGACCCATGTAGCATGAACAGTTTCAGGACTTTTGTTAAACAAGTTAGACAAAGGTGCTAGAATATCTTTAGCTTTAATTTCACCAATAGTGGCCAAAAACTCACCATGTGACTTGATCAATTCTTCAACGCCTTCTTTTGGATCACCTCTTTGATCACCAACAATTGAATTAATCTGGTCAAGTGTAGCAAATTGATAAGATGACTCTAGCTTTAATTTATGTTCACCATCAAAAGCACCATACAAAAGTTGTAAACCTTGATTCAACCATCTGTAATCTGCAAGGTATTCCCAATTTTGTTCTCTAATCACATAGTACAATCTTTTGTTGATATCCTTTTCTAAACTGTCGTTCAAGATTGATAACAAACGTTCACGAATACCAACATCAGCCAATCTTGTACCAACCAAAAATGGTTGCTCCATTCTGACTGTTAACTCAGTACAAGCCAAAGATTTATCTTCAAATATATCAACAATGATTTGATAAAATTCTTTTGATAATGACAATTCACCTCTCAGTTCAAAAACTAACATTTTGACCAAGATTGCAGCCTTCTCTTTAGTGGTAGGGAATAAATCAGTTGTTGAAAAAACCCATCCTCTAACAATACCAATGATTTCTTTCAGCAAGCGAACATCCAATGAGCGATCAATCAACTGAGCCAACAGTGTTAAGAAAATACGACGTTGATCACCCAATGTAGAAATTCTCATAGCCGAAATATAAAGAATTTTTTCAAGAAGCTTTGTTGTCATTTTGGCTTCATATTCAACCTGTGGTGAAGCGGAATCTGTTTGTGAAATTGAAATATGATCCTTACAGATTTTGGCAAATGTTCTAATTATACTTTGTACGAGAGTATCAAGCGCCTTCGGATAATAATTTGCTAAAGCCCAAGCCAAAGTAACACCAGCTGCAACAGAATTGGTATTTTGTAAATCTTCAGAGACGATTGTTGTTAATAAAGTCAAGAAAGATTTTACTTCCTCGTTTTGTTCTTTTTCATCTAAGCTGCTTTCTTCTGTAATAGCTTTCAAAACAATTCTTAAAACTCTTTGTAAACCTTCTTGAACATCATGGTTATCAGAACGTAAACATTTATCCAATAATGTTTCAATAAAACTGATATTTTCAATGATCCAAGATGATGATTTTCCTTCTAAGGCGATACCTAAGACATCTAAAGCATTTAGACAGTAACCTAACAGGTTTGAGCTTGAAAGATCTGCTTGAACCAAGAATTTTTCGAAGAAAGCCAATTTAACAGTGACTTCATTCCAATAACCAGGACTCAATAATTTGTAAAGAATATGAAGAGCTTTTTGTCCAAGTTCATTTTCAGATGCTCTTTGCGAACTAATACAAATGAACCTAATCAAGAATGTGACACAAGCTTCCCTTTGAGCAAATGGAACAAGATAATCTCTTGGTGTTGTAATATCAGAGCCTGAAATTTCCGGTGATCCAGCACCATTAGCATTTAATAGTTTTTCTTCTTCCTTTTCGGTCAAGTTTGAAGTTGCAACAGGCGCGGATTGATCACCAACAGAACCAACATCAGCTTCTTCTCTTGCTTTAGTTTCCCAATTCAAGATCAATTCTGCCAATTCAATAGCCAAAACTTGATTTTCATGAGCCGGGTTTGCCATACTAGTTAACTTACCCATATAAGTAATAATATTTGGAATAAAATGATCTCTAGCAATATAAAATATATCAGCATGATGAAACAAGAATTGATAGACCGTCAAATTTTGAACAGTGTTATTTTCAGATAAAACACGTCTAACCCACTTGATCCACCCTGTTGATGATCCACTTTGACCCATACGTTGAGGCATAACTGGTGCCAAAAGGTCCAATGCTTGTCTAACTAAAAATCTTGAATCCACAGTATGTGTACGAAGCAAAGCAACAAAAACCTGTGTGACAATTTTAACTGGAGTTTCAAACACAGAAATAAATGATGATGTGACAACATAAGCAGCTTGTTTAGTTAATGCATCATCTAACTTAATGAAGTTCCAACTGAATTTGATAACATCTTTTCTCAGATCTGCTGTTAATCTTGGAGCATATTTTATTAATAAAGCAGATAACTGAAGTAATTCAAATCTCAAGTTATCAATAGAGCCTGCTGTATGGTTTGTGATCATTTCATTTGAAGCTCTCCAAACTTTATTATGAACCAAATCTAACCAAACAGGAACTTTCGCACCAGTTGGTTTTTGAGCCAAAGCATCTAAATTACCATTTGATAAACCTTCATTTATAACAATTGCATTGAAAATATGTTTCAAAATGAATGTCTTGGATTTTAAAGATTTATTATCAGTAACAAATAAGATTGACTTGTTCATGTACTCTTGACGGGTTTCAGTATCATCAGATTTGACAATTTTTTCAAAAATGAAATCTTCAAGATCAGCAGAGATCAAGATATCCAAAGATGATAAGAGATCAACAAACCCTAAAATGATATCTGAATCCTTAGGATTTTTATGGAAAAAGTCAACAAATAAGGATTGTAATTTTTCAATAGCTTGTGTGATACAGAAATGAATTGGTGAAGTTAAAACAGCATTTTGTTCAACAGTAATGATTTCTTGTGATAATGAAGAAACGTCTAATAAGACTTGTTTATGGGCGATCAACCATTCACCATCATCCTCAGCAATACTTTCCACCAAATCAATGAAGTTAGCAAATTTGATTGATTTATTTTCCGCTTGGGTTTCTTGTGAAACACTGTTATAGAAAACATGAATATTTTCTTTGATTACTTTTCTCAAATCCCCACATTCTTTCAATCTGATAAAGTATGCTAATTTGGTACCCAATTGTCTTAAATGGAATTGTTGTGAGAAATATTGGAAGGTTTCCTGTGGAAAACGATTCAAGAATTTTGCAATTGGTTCTCTAAATGGTGAGCCTTGTTTACGACGAAGATTATCTTCCAAATATTGTAATGTTTTAATAATTTCTTCCATGAAGGTATAAGCTTTTGGTGGAAGTAAATGGAAAATGTTTAAAATTGCAACAATAATCTTCACAGTTGGGTTATTTTCTAATTCTTCAAACGCAATTGAATGTAGAACAGCAGGTTGAGCCCAAGCCATCAAATGATCCAATAATTTTCTACCGATTTCAACTTTAAAATAAGTGATCAACAATTCCAATAAACGAGCAAGAGCTTCAAGACCAGAAACAGTCAACTTCTTATGATCAGACAAGTTCATCAACATTGGTCTTAAACCATTTTGCAGCAATTCTTTAGGAAGTTTAGCATTTTGTGATAAAACTTGTTGTAAACCTTGATGAGATGCATTGATAATTTCAGTAGATTTTGCACAAAGTGTTTTGAAAAAAACAGCCAAAATTCTAATTCTTGTATGACCTTGTTGACTTGAAATAAACTCTGGTTTAGTCAATGCCAATGATAGAAGTCTGATACAAACAACTCTTAATTTAACTAACTGTTCTGATGTACGATGTTCAGAGACTTTATGAGCACTTGTTAATGATTCATCTTCAGCATCAACCAAAGTTAAAGCTTCCATCAATAATCTATTCAATTCTTCATTAAAAGTTAAAAATGAATCTTCAAGACCTAAACAGAAAGTGATAGCATCAATATTACCAATTTGCATTGGGAAAGGTAAAGCTCTTAATGGTTTACCGAAAATTGGAGTCAATAAAATACTCTTACATTTTTCAATCATGGAACCAACAGATACTTTTGTAGCTTCAGATAAAGCTTTTAAAGATTTTTGTGCAGTTTCTCTAACAATTGGATTAGCATTACTTAAATCATAAACTAAAGCACCAACAATAGTTTGGAATGCCTTTTCTTGAACTTCTGCTTCAGTCGCATTTTCATTAGCTTTAACTAAAACATCCAATACCAAATTTTTAGCAGTATCACAAACTTCATGTGGAGCTTCAGGATTTGTATCTCTTAAAACATAAAACATTGAATGAACTAATTCAAATTGACGAGTCTTGAACCAAGAAATTGGGATCCCCAAATCATTAACCATGGTTTTTAGACCCAAACAACTTGCTAATTTATTATAATAAGCTTCATCATAGCTTGAATGAACAAAAGCATTGAATAATGAGCGTAATACCGGAAATTCTAAAGCTTTTTCTTTGGAGCCAAATACCAATACAGATGTATTGAAAACAGTTTTAATTGCTTCAATACCAGCTTCTCTAATTTCCATCATGTATGAACTCAAAGCATAAATAATTGAATCAAAAACAATACGTTCTGAAATAACAACTTTACCTTCTTTATCATCAACTTTGAAAGGACGTTGATTTTTAATCTTTTCTGTCAAGACTTTAGTGACGCTTAACAATGTGAAATGTTGAGCAACATGTTTGATTAATGATCTAGCTTCATCTTTGGTTTCAGGTATTGAAATAGCATAAAATATTGATTTGTATAAACGTAAAGCTAATTCTTGTTCACGATTATATTTTTGTTTACTAACAATAATTTCACCTTCAATTTTAGAATTTTCAGTATCTAATTTTTCTTGTGAAATCATATTTGCAGCTGCTGATAATGTTTTGGCAAAATCTTCTGGGATTTCAGTTGATGGAATAAATAATAAAAACACTTTAGAAATATAATTGAAAGCACTAACTCTATAATGAGTTTCAGCAGTTAAATCTTCCAATATTTCAATAGCTGGTTTTATACCTGGTGTAATGGATAATGAAGCTTCATCAACTAAACCTTCAATTTTAAATTTAGCATTAATTTCTTGTTGTAATTGATCACTAATTTCTAAATCTTGATGTGGTTTAATAAAACGACGATTTCTACCACCTAATTTACCCAAAATTCTAAACGTTGTATGAGAATGTTGATGATGATAAGGCAGTGGTTTTAAATGTTTCCATAATGCTTCCATAACTTCATCAATAACAGGTTCAATTATTGGATCAAAATATTCAGCAGTTAAATTATCAACACAAAGTTCTAAAGTTCTTAAACCTTGACTAACCAAATCTTGTGAACTATTTAGTGCCAGCACTAAAGGTCTCATCAAGTAATTTAAATGTGGAACTAAAACACTTAAACGAACTGGAACTGTTAAACAAAGTTCAACATAAATATCACGTTCTTGTGGACGACGAGCATTTAAAATCATTCTATTCAAAGATTCCAACAAAACTTGTAATAAAGGCATGATTTCCTTGTAAAGATTTTCAAAACGTCCACCACCAATACTTCTAAATAATGTTCTAATCAAATGGAAATAAGCAATTGGTTCTTTTGAAGTTGTAGTTAATTTTAATGAAGTTAAAATCAAATCATTCAAATGAGGTAAAATAACTTTTTCATTTAAAGCTGGAAACAAATTAACAGACATGAAACATAATTTAAATAATCTAATCAGAATATTTGATTTAATAATATCATCACTTCCTAATTCATTTAATTTAGTCTTCAGAAATGAAATTAAAATACCAGAGAAATTTGGTGATGTATTTTCATTTGCCAAAAAAAATTGTGGAATATGTAACAAAGCAGATTCTTTCAACATTGCATTATATAAAAATTCAATTTCTGCTTGAACAATTTCATTAAATGTAGCAGCATCAATATGCATGAAAATTATGGCAAAATTTTCCATCAGATCTTTTTCCTCTTTAGAAGAACTAACAGGTAGAGAAGGACCAGCCAGCTCATACATATGTTTATTTTCCATAATTTGTTGTTGAGTCTTTTGATTATTTAAATGAGATGATGAAAAAAATTTCATACCTGATATACATTCACGGAATAAATGTCTCAAGACAGTAACTTCTTCATTTGAGAAAACACGAGCAAAATCATTCCATTTTTGATTATGAGCTTCATCTTGAGTTGGTGGAGGTTGTGGATTAAAATTTTTTAAACCATAACTAATCGTTTTCAAAAATTGTAATAAAGTACGGAATAAATAACGTGCATCTTTTAATGGATCAGTTGGACTTGGTGGACTAATCAAAATTGGAACCTCTCTTTGAATATCAAAAATATCATATGATTTTGATTCTTTATTTGATTCTTCAGTCTTGTTATCACCATTACCAATTGGTTTTTCATCATCATTCATTTCAACATCACCATCTTTATCCTTGATTTCTTCAATTTTAGAAGCTTGAGGTATTAATTTTTCACGAACAAAAGAACTTAAATCATCTTCATTACTTAAATTTTCAGCCTTCATTAATTCTTTTTGATGTTTTTCCTTTTCTTCACGTTTTGTTTCAACATCATTATGATGTTTCATAATATTTGGATATTGTCTATTCAAAGCTTTAAATCTTTTTGTAAAAGCATCAATAATTAACATAAATAATTGTCTTCCTTCAGCTTTTGAATTTAAACGCATGATTCTTTCCACTAAATTTAATAAAAGTTTAGCACTCATAATTTGAACAGTTAAAGCTAATGTACTATCTTGTAAATGATTACAATACATTGTTATTGTTTTCAATATTTTATCTGTAGTTAATTCATCTCTAACATTATGAACAAAATCTGCAACAATACTATAAGCTAATGGACGTAAAGTTTCATGAGCAGTTAATCCATCACCAATTAAAACTTTTTCATCAAATAATAAATCTAATTTTGAAATAAATAAGTTTCTATAAGGTGTTGTTAAGATATGTCTAGTAGCATGTAACAGTTCTTTTCTTGCAGCTGATAATTCACTTGGACAATCTTGTAATAATCTCATTATTAAACCAGGTATTATTTCAGTATATTTACTTAATAAAGCTTGTGAATAACCTCTAATGAAAATATAAGCTAAAAATGATGCAGCTTTAACTTGACCCAAGATGAAATCACCATAAGCTAATCTATTTTTAATAGCTGGTGTAACCGAAGTTAATCTTTGACCTTTTTCTTCAACTTGTCTTCTTGCTTCAGCTTGTTGAGGTACTTCAGTTTGTAATATTTGAATAATATATGGAATAAAATCTGGTAAAGATGAAGTTACCAATTGTTTATATGAAGAAGTTAAAGTGACCATTGTTATTGGACATTCTGCAATTGTTTTAAATGAAAACATGGATTTAGATAATTGATTTGATTGACTCGATGATATTGATTCATCTAATGAAGGTGACATTGGTCTTGGAGAATTAAAATTATTTGCTGGAGAATTAGAAGTTGAATTATTTGTGACACCTGTTGTTGTGGAAGATGCAATATTATTATTAACAAATGTATCTTTAACTAATTGATCCATATTTTTATACATTTCAATTATTATCTGAATAAAAGGTTCAGCTTTATCAGCTAATATTGTCTTGTATGATTTAAATAAAGTTGTAGAAATTTTTAAACATAAAACCCCATTTTCTTCATTTTCAGTTTTAACTAATTTATGTAATAAATCATTAATTTCTAAAGCATAATTTTGGAAAGTATCATTCATTGTTGAACGATGTAAAATTTCCAATATTGAATTTCTTAATTTATGTTCAATTGATTGACTATTAAAAGTAATTGGTACATTATTTAATAAATTGATATAAATTGGAATTAATTGAGATAAATAATGTTCATATTCAGCAGTACCTGTAAAAGCTTCAACCATATCAGATAATTCTGAAATTATTGAATGTTTTGTTTTGAAATCAACATCTTCTTTAAGCCTATTGGCAAAAGTGTCAATTTGAGCGGTATATGACATGATCGCTGTTTTGTTGTTTCCTTACTAGAGTATTGATGATCCTAACAACTCAGAAACTATTAATCCTGAGAGTATTAAGTTAGTGGATGCCCTCCAAAGTAACTGATATACACTCAAATTATACTCACCGTTAACACCAATAACGAAAAAAACAACAACAATAGAAAAGTCTCTGGAACAGGAAAGATAGTGATTTTTTGGTGTGAGAGTAAGTATTGTCTTTGACGAATATAGTACAGCTCTCCTTCCAGTAGACTCTCAATAGTAAGTTAAATCAATCCCGACTAAACCTAGTGGGTTTCTTATTTCTTGTAAATGTAATTTTATTTAATACAAAAACACGAATTTTATTGTTTTTACCACTAAAAAACTTGAAAACTTCACGCTTGAAAAAATCAACGACGAAGAAAAAAAAAAGTGCGATTTTGAAAAAGCCTGATGTTCGCGGAAACGCGTGATATTCACGTGATATCAAGTGTATTATATTAAAACACGTTATTTTCACAAGAATTGTTAAAGAACGTGTGTTTAAAGAGCGTGATATTATCATAGGTGCTCGATATTATCTATATACCAGCAATTATACAAATCTAGTACAATTTAGGTAGTATAATGATACAAATTTGGTGTCAATGAGGCTATTTTAATCAAGAGAGCTAAAATATTTTGAATAGACTAAATTGGCGATATAACCGTAAGCGGTAATGGTTACATAGACACTGAGGAAGATATTATATAGATTCAATTTATAAACACATAGTAAATCAGACATTTATATATCATCTAGGAGCATTTCTCATTAGGATAAATTCTTTGAAAGTCAAAATTCTTAAGATACCGATTATCATCAATGACACATTGATCAAAGTCGACAAAGAATGCTTGATCAAATTTATCAAAGCAAAAATTATCCTTTTTAAAATCATTGTGATCGATACCTGCATTCAAAAGAATTTCAATTTGTCTGTTCAAATTCTTAATCCGTTTTGGATTATCTTTATATTCATTATCATTTATGAATTCAAGGTATTCTGTACATATGAAAGGTCCCCAATAAGCATATCCATATTTACCTTCAAACGGTAATTCAAGATAAGTCCATCCATATTGTAGTAATTTAGGTGAATTGATCTGTTCTTTGATACTATGTGTTGAATTCCATTGACTGATCTTTCTTAAAGCTGTTATTTCTCTTACGTAAGTTTTTTTTAGACTTTCCAGAATGTGTTTGAAATCTTTGGAGTGGCCTTCTAAGGACGCCATTATATTAATTTCTGATTCAGTGAACTTTTGAACTTCTTTTTGATAACGTGGCATACCAGCAGCAGTAATATAACTATGAAGACTTTGTAGATTCACAACATCAAAAATTTTGAAAAATACCCTTTCGTTTGAAAAGGTTTTATTACCTCTTGATAAATGATTAGTATTCAAAAAACTGATTATTTTGGTGCTTCTGCTATTTGAAAAACTGCTCAACAGCGTATAGTTCAAAACATGAAAATCAGGTTTCTCTGGGAACAAAATACTTGATGGAATGGATTTCTTTTCAGTTTTTTGTCTAGTACCAGAAATAGTTGTAGTACCGGCTGATTTTTCATCATCTTTTGACCTGTATGGAGCAATTCCCTTTCCAACTCTCTTTGATGACTTCTTTTTGAAAGAATTTAATGATCTTTGCTTCTTTTTCCCAACCACCTGACCTTCTCTACCACTTGATTCAAGTTTCTTTTTGAAACCACGTTTGAACAAGGAAACAATGAATGGACTGAAAAGATCTGGTTTCCAACCTTCATCCATTGATCTATATGATTGTTCATCTAATAAATATTGACCATTGGAGTCCTTTAGCCAATCGTCAGTAATTGAGTTTCTTTTAAAAGCATCATAAGCTTTCAACATTAGCAATAGTTGAAGCTGTATTGAATGTGGTGGAGTAGATCCACTATTATCAAAGACTCTGTACCTCAACGATTTACCAGTAAAATAGACCTTTTTCTGGTTTCTACTTATCCATTTGGATCCTTTCAACGGATATTCAAAATATATTGTCTTGCTGAAATTGCTGATCATGTAAGTATTTACTTTGAGAAAAATTTGATATTGGGCGGATTGACGAAAAGCTTTTGCTAATTTGGAAAACTTTTTAGTGTCTTTAAGCTTTTCAAGAACTCCTGAGACATCTTTTCCCTTCATCTCTATAGCACAAACAGATGTTTTTTTGTGACCACTTTTTAGTGTAATTGCAATATCCAGCTTACAATTGTGGAACATGATACGATTTATAAGCTGTTTTGGGTATTCACCATCATTATGGGCCTTGTGAGACTCCCAAACCTGACTGGGTTTCTTTGGCTTGATTTTCTTTGGCATATTAGTGTTGAACTTATATTTTCCATGAACTACCAAAAGCTTATTAAAGAAGGTGATTAATGGATTTATGATCATTTCATTCATGGCTCCTTCTCTCAGATTTTTTAAATCTTGTTGGGTTGAAGATGATTCATCAGAATCAGACCTAGTGGATTCATCCGAATTTGAATTAAAATCATCAGAGTCAGAGCTCGAATCAACATCTGCACCATGAAGAAGGTTAAAAGTCCTTAATAATGTGCTTAACACAACCACGGCACTCTGTTCCTCCATTTTATTTAATGAAAATTTAATGAAGCTTTCCAATTCAGCAACGTTCAGAAAAAATTCTTCGTCCTTTATTTCTTCAGGATCAAATTTTGGGTCCAAATGAATTGATTTGAATGAGCGGCTGAATATTGAATTACTATCTGAAATGGTTGAATTGGACACGTGAGAACCACCAGCAGTCAAAGGTAGCTCATTTGGAATTTTACCATCAACTATGTGAGCTGCAGCATAGATCTTCCACAAGTGAATAAAGTACTTGGGTTTTTCACCCTCCATTAGTTGAAGCTTTTCAATAACTTTTGAGTTTAATCTCTCTCTCAGTAAGCAGAATTCTTCAGCGATAACAGAAATAGCTACCAATTATCCAGTTAGTTCTCTATCCTAATACATAATTCATCAAAAAAGGGGATGGCAACTCACCGTTATATAATTCCATCCTATTATTAACATCAAGGTAATATTCATATTTCTCCTCTGTATCTTCTTGTGGACCACGAATCTTGAAAAGGTCTTGAATGTTGAATTGATTTAAAGAACATGGTAGATATTGGTTTAAATTAAGAATGGTGTCTTCAAATAAAGTAGGATCAACTTTGAAGTTATAAGTATAATTTGAATGTGCATTCACCATCTTCGTAACCCTTAATCACAGCTGGGTATATTTGCTGAATCAAAACGACGTATAACCAATTGATTTTTAATTTATTCTCAAAAGTTGGAATTCGATGATCGATAAATTATATTTATATATCTATGAGAGGATTTGAATATCCAATACGACACAAAAAAGTGAACAATATAAACACCGCGCGCGAATTTTAAATTGATTAACGTTTTGATTAATGCATAAATATCATGTATATAATATTTAAATACACAATTGAATTAAAATATATAATATTTTTGGTGCTCCATATAAGGATTTAAGAAAATTGTAAGTAATATAGGATCAGTAGCCGGTTACAACCTATTTATATATCGACGTCTGTACATTCTTTTCTGGCGTTGCTGTCGATGATTTGTATAATAATTCGCTAGCTGTCGAGGATATTCAATATATGTATACCATAAGGGCAGGGGATCAGTACATGGTATTATAATAATTGATTAATCAATACATACATGTATACATATTAGACATATATCATTTGTCATGATAGTATAATTTGATCATTATATGTAATGTTAATTATTCAAATACTTTAATATTATAAATATTATACATATATATCTAATTAGTCTAAATCCTTTATTTTCATTGATTCCACATTTCTTCCCTTGCTTTATATAGTCATATAATAAGCATATAATTCATTAAACATGTATAAGCAATTGGTAATATCTTAAATTTGATTTATTCAAAGGTGGTGCAAAGTTGAGCATTTTAGTATATGCTTAAATCCATTGTATGTATACCAGCTATAGGTTTCTATCACAGCTACCAGTTATGAATTGTAAATTAAAAAAAATCCGTTGGGGATATGATATTTTTTCAAATCATTTTCAAAACCATTTAATTAACAAAAAAATAATTGCCATGTCTCGTGTTGACCAACCTTGATATTTTGTTATTGATTGTGACGAATTTATATCAATTCTTCTATCATTATTAGGACACATATACTCAATTTCTTTTGGTGAAAATAACGACAATGAATTACCACCCGAGGCGTTATAATGTTGATTTATTGATCTTGTTAATTGGAATGTAATACATAAACTTGAAAATTCACTTTATGTTTAGATTGATCAATTGATGCTAATGTTTTAATCAACCATGGCTTAATATTCTAATGATAAATTATCAAAATTCAATAAAAATCGAATGTTTTGTTTGGTAAGTTCACGATTTAGCTTCTGGAGTTTTAAGACTTGAAGATTGCTATTAACTATGATTAAGACATTGTGATAATGTTGGGATTTCACATAGGATTAATAACCTTTTCAAATCTTGAGCTGATGTTAAAATTTGATTTAGTCTTGATGCAATTTAATAATTTCATAAACATGGTCTTTCTGGCTGGAAGTGATTACGAATTAATCATAATTGAAATGTATCTTTGAATCCTTTAAAATTTATATTTGAAGTTGAATGTCTTAGATTATTTGATATTTTAAAATTTTCAAAACATTTAATAAGATATTATTCTAAAGGTTTATAAAATTCATGAGAATTTGATTCACCAATTTAAATGTTGTTGTTTTAATTGATATTTTCTAATCTTATTTCTCATAGATATATATGACTGATCAATCATCAATATCAGTGGTAGTTGGAGCCAAGTCAATAATAGAATGACAATTAAACACGTTTAAATTTGTTTTTGTAAATTCAAGATATTTAACAACAGATCCACAACATTTACAATGACCAATAAATAATTTTCTTTTGCATGGAGAATATATTGAAATCGAACTAGTGACAGCACTTGAATCAGCTGAGGTGTTTTTGATTTTTATTAAACGAAACCTTAGTAAATTCATACTTGAAGATAACCCTAAATTATTGTTGTTATTATTACTGTCACAAGACGTATGAAGTTAGATCAATACCAGCACTTGAACCAGCGGCGACTTGAGCATTTGATTTTTCAGTAATGTTCCTAAATGCCTATAATTTATATTAATCAAATTAAAAGCAAACAGTAATATAAAATTTAGCCGTTAATAACCTTAAAATCAATAAACTGATTTGAATAATTAATAAGCCGCAATGGAATTGATAGCATAATTGACTAGTAGAATGAGTGAAAAGAAGTCCATTGATATATATGCATATAACATGATAGCAAGGTATAAAGTCAAACCATCACGTATGTCTTCGATTTAAATTTAATATTATTATATAATTTGAATTATATTTTTGATTCAGGGCGCCCATATTCACTAATTTTGTTATTTGTATTCATTTGTATTCATTTGGTTTCCTTTATTTTGGTATTTTAATTCTCATGTGTCTCAATTGGCATGAGCTCGGCCAGAATTTGTTTATTTGAAAACAAATATCAATTAAATAAATCAGCCATATTGATTGAATTATATTATTGTTTAATTAAATAAATGTGTTGAATTGAGCGCTCAATTATATGGAATTGAAAGGTTAAGATCGCGAAATCAGTGAAAATACTCCTCTCTCAATTTACATAATCATTGTACCACTGATGACATAACCACATACTGGGTAACCCCTAAACACAACTAGTAGGCCGCCGTTGAAACTTGGACAATAGAGAGTTGAGGGAACTTCAACTTGATTTAACGTTTCAGTACATTGGAAGTCAATTTAACAACCACCTATTGAAACCATAACATTTATGAAAAGACTTCAATAAATTATACAATCCATACATGTGTATCATGATAATCAAGTACAATGATGTCATGATTAAAAGACCCTTCGACAATGTTCTTCATGATCAATCTCTGTAAAATATAATTTACATCTAACCGACCTAATTCATGATAAATAAATTTAGAGACATATTAATCACAATTCACAATCTAAATCTAAATTCATGACATATAAATGTACGATACACAATTTACGTGATCCAATAAAGGATTAATCTCCGGATAACTATACACTAGTGACTATACACATATAGATCTGTCATAATAAGTTTAGTGATCAGTGATCATTGATCTTCGGATATTGCTGTCAATGGTTACACCATGATATAACACTTAGGCAGTACTAACCATTAGCCATGACTATACCTTCATCAGACCCTCCTCTTCATCAACGTGTATAGTCATTTGGTGATTGTATATAGCCCTTAATTTCCCCTTCAACCAATCAGAGTGCGTGATCAAGAGAAGATGACTCAGTTCTTATGTCCGCGCGACAGTACAATAGCAATAGATCTTAAACAATAGGCTTACTTTAATTAACAACGTTTTCTTGTAATTAAGAGTAAACATTGATGACTGATGATTGATAACAAAACTTCATAAATAATATCTTGGATTTAATATTATTTGATAAATTAATTGAGCTATGTCATCCCACTTAAATTACTGACCTCAAAAGGCTTATTAACTGTGGGATGTACCATGTATCATGACTTTTATTTTTAAGATTGTAGATCATTGTCGTATCATGAGAATTTAAGAGGTACTATAAGTGTTATATGCCAAGGGCCATTGATGACTATATAAGAACAATGATTCCCACCAATTGATAAGACTATATCGAATACTAATTATATCTATCAAACATTATTATACCCATAATATAATATCAATATGTCTCAAGACCAATACTATGATGCTTCTCCAAAAGTTCCACAACAATCTCCATTTGATCAAGGTGAATTAACTTATGGTCAACAACAACAACAAGGTGGACAACATAATACAAAAATCATTTCAAGACAACCAGATGCTATAAAACAAATCACTTATGCTAAAGAATATAATGTTAAACCTCAAGGTGCTTATCAATCCATAGTTAGTTCATTAGGTTCAATTTGTGGTGTTTGTGGTATTTGTTTCTTATGTCCTTGTAAAAATCCTTATAATGATGTTGACCAAGGTTCAATTGGTATGATTACAAAATTTGGTGAATTAGCCAGAGTTGTTGATCCAGGTTCAACTTATGTTAATATTTTCAGTGAAAAATTACACTCAGTTTCAATTAGAATTCAAGTTCAAGATATTCCAGAACAAGCTTGTTTAACTAAAGATAATGTTATTGTTTATCTTAAATCTGTCTTATATTATAATATTATTGATCCTCAAAAGGCAGTTTTCGGTATTTCAAATATTCAAAATGCTATAGTGGAAAGAACTCAAACTACATTAAGAGATGTTATTGGCTCAAGAGTTTTACAAGATGTTATTGAACGTCGTGAAGAAATTGCTGAAGCTATTCAAATCATTATTGCTCAAACCGCTGCAGAATGGGGGGTTCATGTTGAAAGTATCTTGATTAAAGATTTACAATTATCAAATGAAGTTACACAATCACTCTCTCAAGCTGCTCAAGCTAAAAGAATTGGTGAATCTAAAATCATTACTGCTAAAGCTGAAGTGGAAAGTGCTAAATTAATGAGACAAGCTGCTGATATCTTGGCTTCAAAACCTGCTATGCAAATTAGATATTTAGACGCTATGCAAAATATGGCAAAATCTGCAAATTCAAAAGTTATATTTATGCCAAGTTCTGGTGAAATTGATAAAGCTGCTTCAAATCAAATTGAAGCTGCAGCAGGTTCATCAAAAAATTTACAAGAAATTGATGAACTTGATGAATTTCAAGAAGAAAAATTGCAAAATTTACAAAAACAATTGGAACAAACTAGACAATCTGGCGGTGATCAAGCTGAAAGGTATAAAGATATGATTGCTATGAAGGAATCTTTAGATCATTGATCATTAATATACTCATAGTTATATGATTTTTCTATATTCACTACAATACTTATTTTACTATACTTTAATGTTTTATACTTGATATATATAATGATCTTCAACTGATTGTTTTATGATTTGATGCTGTAATTTACTTAGTGCTAATTTTATAATTTATTAATTTTTAATTTTTCTTTGATGATGTTTAACGAATCCCATACAATTACTTATATATTTTTGATAATATGTTAATTTCAATTATAACAATATTCATTGTAACAATTTGAACAAAATTTTGGTAATTCCATATCATTCATTAAACTTAAGTTTCTTTGTTTCCTATCAAATTCTCTTTTAATCATTATACAACCAATACATTTATCATATTTCCCTCCATCAACTGTAGAATTTTTATATGTCATTATATTATAAGAATTCTCAATAATTTTGGAAACTTCATCATCTGTATATGTTAATCTAAATGTTGAAGTATTTGATAAATATGAATGATATGTATTACCATAATAACCAATTATTGGTGGTAAATAATCATCAACTATATCATCTTGTTGAAATGATCTTTTAGGATATTGAGATAAATGACATCCAAAGAAAACAGGTTTAGTATTTAATTTTTTATTCATAAAGATATTAGGTGTTGGAATTAATGGGAATAAATCAATTGTTCTTGGTGCACCATCAATTGAAACAGTAACACCATTATGTCTTGTATCATTATATCTTTGCCATGTATTTCTTAATATAGTACCATTGGGCCAACCACCAACATCTGCAGTAGAATCAATAGCAAAAATCAAATCAACATTACGATTTTTTTGTAATAATGGTTGTAAAGGAATATTTTGTCCATCTTCACCACCATCAACCATATAAAGATGCTTACTTTCATGAACTTCATTGGTGTTTTGATCACCAAATTTATAAAATGGATTTGGTGTATATAATGCATAATCTGGATGTTTCTTGGGATCAATACCATCTTGTTTTGAAGTAAGACCAAATGTATTTAAAACAGCTTTAATAGCTCTATATTTATCCTTTGTTGATGATGCGGCTAATTGCCATACATAAATTAAAACATTATTAAATAATGAAGATGATGTACCTGTAATAAAACCAGAATTATCAAAATTATTAAAACAAATGGCTCTTTTAGATAAATGGAAAACTGGATCACCTTTACAAAGATATGAACCAAGATATTTTAAATTTGTGAAAAGTTTTAAATCCCATGAACCAAATTCAAAAGGTGTAAATTCAAATATTGTTGAAGTAATACTTGTTTTCTCAACACCAGGTTCTCTTGAATTTGTAACAATTATTGGTAAAGGTTGTTGAAATTTTTTAAAAGATGGTAAATTTATAACATTTGAAAAAGTATTATCTGGAGCTCTTGCATATTTGGGGAATATTTTCCTTGATAATGCTCTACCCCAATAATCAGTAAATGAAACAGGAAATCCAGCAGATTTTTTAGATCTAACTTCAACATGTAAATTTTTATAAAAATTGAAAATTTTCTTAAGATTTTTCATTGATAAATCTGGGGACACGTCAATATTTGGTAATATATGAGTTGCAGAGATTTTAATTTCTTCTTTCTTTTTAAACATGTCTTTGAAGAAAGTTTTAAAATTGTCAAACCAATCTTCATTTGCCTTTTGAGATGTTGTACGTTTTGATAATCTTGTCAATGGAACCAGGTCATTATCATCTTGATTTTCATTATCTTCTTCATCATCATCTTCATCATCACCATCATCACCATCATCGTCTTCATCATCATCAAGATGTGGAATCAATTCTAAATTTTGATAAAAAGCTTCAAAAACTTCATCTAAATAATCATCATTATGGAACAGTTCTTGAGAAAATGTATCTTTATTATCATCAATTTCATCCTCAGTATTTTCATCCCAAGATCTTTTACCAATCTTATGTAATTCTTCATAAAACCTTGGATCATCATCTTCAAAATCATTAGGTAAGACTTGAACATCATTCCTTGAAACTTCAATTTGTTGTAAATTTGGAATACCTTCTAAAAGAGGTTCAATCATTTTCCAATCTCTAGTCATTCTAACAACAGGTTCAAAATCACTTAATACAAATGACATTAATAACCAAGAACCACCACTAATAGCACTTATATAAGAAGTTGACTGTAATATACCACCTAAATGACCAGGCATTGTAGAGTTTAAAGTACGATCATCAAATGCAACAAGAGCACCAGCACCATTCAAGAAAGATCTATAACCACCACCAGATATAGCTATACCTAAATTGATTGGTTTTAATGAAGATAACATGAATTTATTAACATCTAAACCAGGGATTGAAACTCTGGATAAGAATTTCCCAATACTTTGTTGAGTCAACTTTTGTCGTTCATTAATATATTTTTCCTCTTTATCACAACAGTTCTTTAGACTTTGTTAGATATTTGCCTATCAATTATTAGTATTTTCATGGTTTCTTTCTTACTGAACCTTGCCTCACCAATGGGAAAGAAGGACAATCAACCGGTATGGGAGCATAAGAGTTGGCGCTTGGAGTATCCTGGATAGAACAAACAGCCAGAGTGGCAAATATGGATATGAGAATCAATTTAAAGAGCATTATAACTAGCCGCTGTGTTCAAACTTGTTCAAATATTTGTATTCTGAAGGAATTCTGGATCCTTTGTATGTTTTGATTGTTGATGGTTGAAACTTGAGAAAGATGATTTTTTTTATACCTACAGAAAAAAAAAGTATGGAGCCAAAGAAAATTTCAATGCATCAAAATCATGATATTTATAATTTCTATAAGTTGTTATTGGTTCTATTCTGCAGAATTTAATGAATTGATAACATCATTGGCAACTTCTTTAACCAAATCTATACTTTGTAAAATCAATTGAGGCTTAACACTCTTCAAATTCCCATCATTTAATTTAACATTTTGTATTGGAGAAATTGGTTTCCCATTAAACCAACTAATAATTAACCCATTATCACTAACTTCCATTTCTTCAATATTTGGATCAATTATATAATTTTTCCCTATTATAGCCACAGTGAATACAATTGGGAATTGACCAATTAATTTATTAAATTCATAATCATGGAATGTTGGTTGTTCTTCAATTTCTTTATCATCAACACTTGATGTAATTTTTGGTAAATATGTATTATTTAATGCTAAATATGATGTAAAAGTCATTAAAGTTAATGGATATGAATAATTTGATATCACCAAGACATCAATGAATAATTTATATGCAAATTTCGTTGTTAAATTTAATGATTCTGATGAAATATGTTTTAAATATAATGTTTTCAAACTTGATTGTAAATTTAAAATAAATGAAGTATCATCTCTATGACCTGAAACATCAACATCAACAGAAACCAATTCATTAGTTGTTGATTTCTCCACAACTTCAGCTTTAATACTAACAATACATTCACTACCATCACTTAATGTAATTTTAGCTGAACCATTTGAATTATCTAAAAATCCTATATGAGATTGAATTGGTCTAAATTGTTTATTACTTCTCCCATCAGGCCTTATTGGAGGTGTTTGTTGCAATAATTCGTATAAATATGATCTTTCTGTAGCTGATAATATCATTTTGGGCAATATGAAGTATGATTTTTGTATTGATTGGTTCTTCTTTAACAAGAGTTTCAATTTACTTTTAAATCAATGCTATATGAATTTTTTTTAAGTTTTCTCGAAAAATAAAGTGCCAAAACGCAAGACTTTCCAAATATAGTAATCAATATGTTTTTTTCACCAAAATAAATTTGCAAATCTGCGTAAATTTAAAAAAATTACCAATTGTGAAATTGCGAAAATGATTGTTCCAGCCAACACCACGTATAAAGTTTTCGCAAAAATTAATTCATTTAAATCTCTTAATTGATGTTCTCTTTTAATCAAATGTTTCATATCTTTTTCAAACTTAATTAAAGATCTTTCAACATCTTCTACCATGATTTGATTTATATTTGATAATTTCTGATCTAAATCTTTCTTTTCTTTGAAATTTATCTTTGGATTTGAATTTAATACATCAACAGTTAAACTCATTTCTCTTGCAATACCTTTATTTGACCATGATGCATCACTAACTATATTGATAGAACAGATATCCACTATACTATTGGAATCAGGCTTAAGAACCATTTTGGTATTCAGATCTCTAACATTCTGTATCAATGGTGTTAGTATGTGTTGAGCTCATCCATTTGTTCCTGATCTATACTCACATCTTTCTTTCTCAAGATATTACCATTTTGATCTTTAACTAATAAATTTAATTTTTGATTTGTTATTTCACCACCATTCAGGATTTCAATTATAGTGATTTCATTTTCTAATTCATATCTAAAACATGTATATGCCTTTTCAAGATCTTTTGGGTTTTTAATTTCTCTTTGTTTTATTGGATCTAAGTAAAATCCGAGACTTTGTACCAATCCACAAATCATTGTTAATAAGAATATAAGTCTGAATATCATGATCATGGGTTAAATGCTATGATGGTGATAGATAATATGTGAAAGTTATAAAATGTTTGTACGTGTTCTTGAAATATTTCGATCTGAATCGAGCCTCGAGACAGATTTCCTATTCTGAAATTTTATTCTGGGGTACTATAACTATAGCCACAAAAGCACCGAGATCACAATAGAAAGAAAGACTACTTATTCAATGTTAAACTCAAATGCTACCAACAATTAAATTATATACCATTCATAAGAAAACGATTGCTCTTATACACACTTGTACCACTAAGAAATGTGTCAATTGTACGCGTTGTAACAATATTTGTTCGTTTGGCCCTTGTACCTGAGCGATGGGCGGTGTATCTCGGTTCGAGAACATACTACAAAAAGTTGAACCAACATATGGAAACACATATCATTAATCATAGAAAATGAGCATAAACATAAATAGACATCACCTCAATTGAGTATTAATACAAAAAAAGCACACAAACATAATCACATATCATAATGAAATACTATTTGCAGATTCAACACCATTATCAGTATTGATTTGATTCTTTTCTTTTAATTTACCATCAACTTCCACAACAGGTTTACCATTTTCAGTAGCTTTAGTTGGAACACCATCAGTAATATTATGTGGTAATCCTCTATGAGTTAATTCGTTATCAATGGCTTCAATTCTTTCTTGTTGATTATTCGCCACTATACCATTTTCTTCAATGATTTCTTTAAACAATTTCTCATCATTTTGATCCAGTTCATTTAATTCATCATCACTATCATCACTTTCATCATTCAGAGCTTCTTTATTGATCAACTTGGTTAATTTACCATTGGTCTTGTGTAACTTGCTAATCGATTTCTCCAATTGCTGTTTGATACTATATAATTCAGAGTCCTGGACCTCTCTCAAGGTGACGATGAACTCTTCGATCTGGACTGGTCTCTTGATGGCTGACATTGTCTATACTCTTTTGATGGTCGTTTGATGGTCTTTAATTGACTTTCAAAATGAAAGAAAGAATTAAAATCACAGGAATTTCTCCACTATTTATAAAATTTCAATTTTGCTGGAGATTTCAATTTTTGCTTTTTGGCGCTAACAAAAAAAAATAGAAAAATCTCGAAATTGACACATCAAAACAATTTGAAAGAAGGTAAACAACAAATCAACAAAAGACACAGTGATTCACAGGGAGAAAGGAGTCATGGCTACGCTCAATCAATGGTTCTCAAGTATAGAGGATCTCGGCTCAATCAATGACAAGATCAAGGCTTTGGAGGCGGAAAGAGAATCGCTCCAGGTGAAATCAGATCCAAATCAACAACAACAAAATGGTGGTAAACTGGAATCAATTGGTGTAAATGTCCAAGAATTATCAAAACAATTGGAATTCTCGATTGCTAACTCAGACGTTGCTACTATCGATGCATTGATCATAGGTCATGGTGAAATACCCTCATTGATTGCTGCTAAGAATTTGGTTTTAGAAAGACAAAGGTTATTAAATTTGAAAAATCAACAACTTAAATCATCAAAAATTGAAGATAGATTGAATCAAGTCATTGATTTCCATTTTGATGAATTGAAATCTATAAAAAATGAGTTATCAACAGTGGAAGATTCATCTCTCCAAAATTCATTATATGAAAAATTAGATTCTTTAGTATTATCATTAAAACCACAATATTATAATTTATTAGTGGAATCAAATGGATCTTCTAAATGGTTAAATTCTGCTTCAGTACCAACCAAGTTATTAACAGATTTCCACAATTTACTTGATTTACAATCATTACTTCATAATCAACCAATCTATCCTGAACCTTTATGGTCATTTGAAATTTTATCAAAAAATTTCCAAGTTAGTTTTGACTATCATTTCAATACTCAAAAAGATACAAATAGAATTGATAGACCTGAATTGTTTTTTAACTACCTAACCAATTATTTATCATCACATTTAAGTAAAGTTAATAAAAACTTCACACTTCATAATACAAGTTATTCAGATAGGTTTTGTCATTCAGAATTTATAACTGCATTATTAAAACCAGTTAATTTGAAATTTCAACAAATTCTAGAAATCCTTAGAGATCAATTAGAATCTTCTATAAGTGATGATAAAGTCCAATTAATGATTCATTTAATTAAAGAAACTATAACTTTGGATCAAACTTTAATTCGTGATTTTTATTATGATCCATTAGGTGATGGTCAATGGCAGGGAATTTTTGCCAATTTTACATATAAAGATTTAGAATATTGGTTAAATTATGAATTAAAATTAAATTTAAATAATTATGAATCAATAATAAATTCATCAAAAAATTTCCAAATTGATTATACTTCAGTTGATGATGTTCAATTAAAACCAACAGTTTCTTCAATTAAATTAAAATATTTATTAGAAAATATAACAAATAATTTCCATAAATTTTTCATTTTAAATTATGAATATAATTCAAATTTAAAAAAATTTAAATTAAAATTTTTTGCAAATATTTATTTGAAAATTTTAGAATCTTATTATGAAAGATTAAATGATGGATTCCAAGCTTTCAATGAATTATTCAAAAAGACAAGATCTGTGTTACAACCAAACAAAAATTCAAATGATATTGATATATCTGGTACAAATGGTCTCGAAAGATTATTTAGAATATATTGTTCATTGAAATATATCATAAATGCATTGAACTATTGGGAAAAAGAATATATTTTTATACAATTAAATCATTTATTCAATGAATATTCAACAAAACATACACAGTCTCTCTTCACATCTATATTATCAGATTATAATAACTTGGCCATCAAAACCATGGATTTAATAACATCTTTTTATTCAAAATCTTCTATTGCATTATTGAAAAATTATAATCAATTAAATGTTTGGAATGATAGAAGTTCAAATTCACAACCAACAGAATTCACACCACAATTAGCAAGTTTTATAAATACAGAACAGGATTTATTACAATTCACAAGTAATATTGTATCAAATACAGACTATATAATCATTAAGAATTCCCTTTCAAAGACAATTGCAGATTTTTTTTTCCAAAATATTATAAAAAGTAATCATTTTAGTCATAAAGGTATAAAACAATTAGAATTAGATTTTAGTATTGTTTGGGAAAAATTACAACTTTCTAAAAAATTCCCCCTTTATAAAAAATTAATTGAAGGTTTTTTAATAATGAATTTAAATGATGATCAAATTCAACAATTTGGTCCTTTTAATACTGTGTCACAATTTGCTAAAAATGCAAAATTTGATGTATTAAGAGACTCATTACAATTAGAATATTTAAGTGATGGTGATCTTTTAGATTTGTTATTAAGAGTACATAGTTGAATAAAAGACGGATCATGGATCACAACATATGATGTTAACTACGTAGGTTGATTAGATGCTAAATCACTTTATAAAAAGACATGCAATTATAAGCTCTTGAATATTCCCTAGTAAAAATTATCCATAATCCCTCTGTTATAAACATCTCTAACAGGATCATCACCTCTAATTTTCTCTTCTTCTGTAATTTCTTCATCATCTCCATTCTTTGTTTCAATATTATCTTGAATAATTGAATTATCTTCAACCCCAATTGAACCAATACCAATATTCCAATTTCTAAAATTTTCAAACATTTCATTAACATTTGAAATGAATCCAGTTGGTCCAACATCGAAAAAACTTTCTTCATTCTTGGAATTTACCCAATCTGTTTTCTCTAATAATTGAGAAGTATTTGGTGGAGCATTCACATCTGTAAGATCAATTTCTTTATTATCTCTTTGGATATTATCTCTATCCAATATATTTTCCAATTCTTTAGCTTCTGAAGATTCATCTGGTGTAACTGAACGTTGTTCCCTATCTAGTTGTGTATCATCATCTTCTTGAGGTTCTGATTTCAATTCATTAAAATTAAAATGATTTTCAATTAAATGATCGATAACATTCCAACCATAAGCATTTGCAAATCTTCTTCTAACAAGAATATTATTATGAGCATCAGGTTCTAAATTAACTAAAACTTTCCTCCAACTCATATCTTTATGCCATTCACGAGCAATTTCTTCTTCTAATTCTTCAAAATGTTTATTTGGATCTAAATTTTCTATAAATGTTTTACGTCTTTCAATTTTTGGTGGGATATCAGCTTCTGTATATACCCGATCATGAATAATAACATTTGGACGTGATTCTGGATCAATTATATATTTTGGAGGTGGTAATGGTGGTAATAATACAGCAGCTGCAGATTCAATCATTGATGTCTTGGGGAAATTCTTCATTGCTTTTTTATCTTCATCTTGCTTTGATTTCCCATCTTTTTTAGTACTCTTATCTTGAGCGGTTTGTGATTGAGCATTTGGTGCAATTAGATTAATAGCTTTTTGAAATGGGTTAACAAATGATTTTGTAGCTTTTGTAATGAAATCATCTTCACCGTCAACTTCTTTTAATGCTTCATGATCTCTTAATTGATGTTCATTTGGTATTTTCCCACTTGGTTCTGATGTTGAACTATCTCCTGTGCTTCTTCTTCTTGATTTTTGTGCATTAGCAACTTTGGTTAAACCTTTCCAATCTAAATATAATAAAGCAGATGTATATAATGGTACTATACCATCATTTATAGCATTTGCATATAATGTTCTATTATGAAATTTTTTCAAAATTCTATGAGTTGGTCCCGTGGGTAATAACTTTAATAATGGGTCTTTACCTTGTGTGACTTGTAATCCTAAATCTTGACCAGTTTTACCAACCATACCAACACTTAAAGCAGCTTTAACATATGCTGGATTATCAGTGAAAATACCCAGTAATGGTGAAGCTAAAGTGATGAAATTCACTGCTTGAACATTTGCGAAAAACCATGGGAAATTTATTTCAATATATGCAATGGCGAAAGTTTGTACTAAACCACCAAGTGAATGACCAATGAATGAAATCTTGGTAACTTTTTCATTATAAAGATTTTTAATAATATGTTCAGCTAATCTACTACCTAAATATTTCACACCTTTTTCAGTTTTACATGTGTTACCTGAAAATCCTCTAACAATTAAATTTTCATCACATTCTTTAGCTGCTTTATCTAATTGTTCTTTAATATAATACATATCAGCAGTAACATTACCATGAAGACCATGTGTCAATATTACTAAATGCACATCCTTTTGAGGGATTGGTTTAGGTAAATTCCATAAATCTAACGTATCTTTCCTATTCACAGTTAATTGATTATTAAAACTTCCCAATTTATCAAATTTTAAACCTAATGATTCTAAATTACGACCTATAAGCAATTCAAATCCAACATCTGTGGATGTATTGAACAATATTTGACTAACAACATCCACTATCCATACATATTTCTTCTTGATATTATGTAAAGATAACTCTGCATTAAAACTTTGACCTGGACTTAAATTTGGTTCAAATTTTGGTTGATCAGCTGTGACAAATGTTGACTTGCTATGATGATATTCTTCTGTTCGTACATCCACATATAATATATAGGGTCCCATAAGGAAAGCAGCTCTCATGGGTAGACTCTCTATGTTCCTTACTTTCAACCATAGTGATTTGAGCGATAGTTTTGTGATGTCTTGTTCTTCTGGTTCATATGTAATGATATATCTCTCAAGCTGACCTACTCTGACGGCCCTTTTGGATCTGTAGAGGATATCCGACTCTGACATTAACTAAACAATGACTTAAGAGTTAAATAATGGTGATGATGATAGACAAATGAGCTTCTTGAATGCCACTATCTCTGAAGTTTAGTTAGTTTTTGCCTCTTTGGAATAAATTTTGACAAGCTGATGATGTTTTGATTTCGGTTTGTTTACTATTACCCGCGAATTTTCCTTACATAAACGATGATGATGAGACTTTATTGAATATCTATATTAACTAAGCTCCAAGTTCTTCTATTTATATATCTATGTTGCATTATTTACAAAAAGAGGACGGTGGTCTTCTATGACTCCATGTTCTCCAGTTCTTTACTTCTCACTTGACCTTCATGTTTCTCCAAAGCATCTATCAACAAGTCCAATTTTTCACCTCTCATAACACCAGGAGCATCGTGTAATGAGTATGAACATCTATGATCAGTGATTCTATTCTGTGGGAAGTTATAAGTTCTTATCTTATCAGATCTATCCGTAGTGGAGACCTGATCTGAACGTAATGATCTTTGAGCAGCTTCCCTTTCAACTCTTTCCTTTTCAGCAATTCTTGATCTTAAAACAGCAAAAGCTCTTGATTTATTCTTTTGTTGTGATCTTTCATCTTGCATTGACACTGTAATACCTGTTGGGATATGTGTTAATCTAACAGCTGATTCAGTGGTATTAACATGTTGACCACCTTTCCCACTTGATCTCATAACATCAATACGAACTTCACCTTGAGCAAACACACGTTCATCAGCATCTTCAGATTGATTATTATCACTCATTTGTGGTAATACAACAACACCAGCAGTGGAAGTTTGTAAACGACCCTTTGTTTCAGTTTCTGGAATTCTTTGAACTCTATGAACACCAGATTCAAATCTTAATTTATCATAAGAACCAGGTTCATCAATACTTAAAATCCCTTCCAGAATACCATTCCCACTCCCATTCATAGATTTGGAAACAACACTATATTGCCATCTCTTATGATTAGCATAATTTATATACATTTGAAATAATTCAGAAGTGAAAATCATAGCTTCAATACCACCAACCCCTGGTCTTAATTCCAAAAGACAAGCTTTTTCAGCAAATTCATGTGGTGGTAATAGTTTGGATTTTAATTTATCAGCTAATTCAACTAATTTTGGTAAAGTAGTCTCGATTTCTTGTTCAGCTTCATCTTTTAATGATTCATCTTCTAATAATAATTGTAATTCTTCATATAATGTTACATTTTCACTATAATCTCTATAGATATCAACAACCATGCTTAATCTTGAATATTTCTTTTGTTGGTTTATATCGAAATGACCACCATCTGCCAATGAAGCTTCAAGATCTTTCAATTCTTGTGTTAATTGTTGTGCTCTTTTAATCAAAGCTGGATGAAGTGGTTGGAAAGTTGTTGAAGTTGTGGAATTGAATCTTTGAAAAAGAGGTCTTATAAAATTGGATCTGCTGGGTATCGCAGTCCTACTGATCCTTATTCCAAACATTATGAAGCCCTTTGTGTACTTGAAGATGTCTTTGAAATGTTGATATATGATTTTTCAAGTATAAATGTGTCTCGAGATTCTTTTTTTTTTTTCACGTACATAAGAAAAAAACAATCTTGATTCTAATAATAATGAGTATTAAACAAACAAAAGAAAACAAATAATCACAACAAAATGCTAGAAACAAAGAATAAACCTGCTCCTGTACAGAGGTACACAAAGTGTAGGTGATGTTTCCCTTTTAAACGGAATCTTTTGGGTTATTACTAACTTTTTTCTATTCTAGCTAAGAAAGTCGGTGAAGGTACATACGCTGTTGTGTTTTTAGGTAAACAAATAGAAAGTGGTAGAAATATTGCTATCAAAGAGATCAAAACTGGTCAATTCAAAGATGGTTTAGATATGAGTGCTCTTAGGGAAGTCAAATATTTACAAGAACTGAGACATGTTAATGTGATTGAACTTGTTGATGTTTTCTCTGCAGATGATAATTTAAACCTTGTGCTAGAATTCTTACCAGCAGATTTAGAAATGATTATAAAAGATCGTGAAATATTATTCAGTCCCGCTGATATGAAATCTTGGTTATTGATGACTTTAAGAGGTGTTCATCATTGTCATAGAAATTATATATTACATCGTGATTTAAAACCAAATAATTTATTATTAGCACCTGATGGACAATTGAAAATTGCAGATTTTGGTCTTGCAAGATCACTTGGTTCACCAAATGAAGACTTAACCTCAAATGTTGTTACACGTTGGTATAGAGCTCCAGAATTATTATTTGGTGCAAAACATTATACAGAAGCTGTTGATTTATGGGCCGTGGGGATTATATTTGCAGAATTAATGTTGAGAGTTCCATATTTACCAGGAAGAGATGATTTAGATCAAGTTGATGTTACATTTAAAGCTTTGGGGACACCAACTGAAGAAACTTGGCCAAATGTTTCAAGTTTACCACTTTATAATAATTTAAATTTTTATCCTGGACCATCAAGACAAGAATTAAGAAATAGATTTTTAGCTGCAACAGAATCTGCATTGGATTTAATGAATGGATTAACTGAATTAAATCCTGCAAATAGATGGAATACTGAAAAGGCTTTGTTAAGTAAATATTTCACAGATCTTCCCGCTCCAACAGAACCTGAAAATTTACCAAAACTTACTAAAAAAGATGATTGAAATGAACATTATTAATATTAATATTAACTTTATACATGTTATCTACACAATTTGTAGCGTAATTTAACCGTGATAAATCTTTGATACATATTTACCAATAGCCATACTTGCAGTTAATCCAGGAGATTCAATACCTAATAAATTAACAAAACCTGGGAAACCTTCTTCTTCTCTTATAACAAAATCTTGGAATGAAGTATTATCTGGACCAATTAGTTTTGATCTAATACCACTATAAGCAGGTTCTAAATCTTGTTCAATGATATGTGGGAAATATCTTTGAATTTCTTTCAAAGCTTCTAATTTATTTCCTGCACTTGGTTTATAATCGGTTGGTGAATCAACCCATTCTAAATCAGGTCCAAATTTGATTTGTCCATCAAGTCCCAAAGTTAAATGAGTTCCTAATGATTTTGTACCTTTTTTAGGAACAGGATAAATTAATCTTCTAACTTGAGGAAATGAATTACTAAAATTGAAATAATTACCTTTAGCATAATAATGTTTAACATGTCTATCTGATGGTAATAACAAATTTGAGATTTTATCAGCATATAATCCTGCAGAATTAACAACATTATTTACAGAAATCTGAACTTCTTCATTTTCCTGTGTTGATTTTGCTAAAATTTCATAACCATCATGAGTTTTAGATAATCCCGTTACAATTGATCCCACGGCTAATTCACCATCATTTTCTTGGAAAATTGTATATAAATAATCCATTAATGAATGTGCAGATATTATACCAGAAGTTGGAGATGATAAAATACCTCTTTCAGCATGGATAGCAGGTTCAATATAACGACCTTTAGCAACTGGAATCAATTCAGTATTGACACCTAAATCTTTTGATTTCCAATATATGTTTTCAATATAAGCATCTTCAACATCAGTCTGTGCAACAATCCATTTCCCACATTTTTGCATATCAACACCAGCTCTAAAAGCTTCTTTATAAAGCAATTCTTTCCCCTCGATACATAACTGAGCCTTTAATGAATCCTTAGGGTAATATAGACCAGCATGAATAACTTCACTATTTCTTGAACTAGTTTCTTCACCAATTTTAGTGTTTTTTTCAATAAGAACCACTTTATTACCAGGATTTTTCGATAATTCTGCAGCTATAGCTAACCCAACAACACCAGCACCAATAACAGCGTGTGAATAGTCTGCCAATGTACTTCTTGAGCTGCTGAACCGTCTTATCCCCAGTATTCCCTTTGATCTTAGCATCTTCAATAGCCAAATAGAATCCAACTGATACTAGATCTGAAATCTTTGAACATAAATTTCTGGGGTCCGCCAAAATCATATTTATATTACCGCGAAAATAAAAAACTGTTAACTTGCTACGTATTTAAGAAGAAGTACAGGGAAGTGTGCGATGACCGGAAGTACTACTAAATGTATAGTATAGGCTGAACTCTCTCACAATGACTTGTATCATTGGCCCAGATTATTGGGAGTCAAAAGTTGGATTGTATGTGTATTTATATCCATAATTTAATCGGATTGTAATGCAACATCATTGATCCTATGATGTGTGCTTGACAAAAACAGAGAATTCATTCGCGAACATTTAACCAAAATTTTAACGCTTAATAGATCAATTAAACATCTGATTTTGGAGATTGTTCTCAAAGTATTCTAACTGATCATTCATAAGAGATGTTTGTTAAAAAATCAAGTGTATCCTCAGTGGGGATCATAAGGAGATGCTTATCAACACAAAGACCACCTTTCTACGAGGTTTTCCCCAAAAAATCCATTATGAATAGAGTCCTTTTCGATTTGGATAGTAGACATAGTTATAGGAAACTTTATACTGTTTATGAAAATGTTTACAAAACTTTAGATAATGATGAAGAACCAGTGATACCCAAATTTGTTGATGCCTCTGATTTAATGATTATGAAGAAATCATTAGAAGCTATTAGAACAAGGTCTCATGCAACAAATAAACATTTATTACAATTAGAAAATGAATTAACTGAAAAAGCTGCTGAACATGGTAATAACGATGCTGTTTCCCTTTTGGCTTATGAAGCTTTCATGGATAAAGATGCTCCAAAAGATGATAAAGAATATGCTAAAGAATTAATCACCAAATTATTAGATATGAAACATCCTTTAACTACAAAATTAAGTGCAGATACATGTATTCAAAATGGAATGGTTGAAGAAGGTGAACATCTTTATTTAGAATTTCTTAAATTAGAAAATGATACATTTTTAGCATCTGAAGTTTATAAAGGTTTAGGGATGTTATATTTCCAAAGAGCTGATTTAACAAAGAGTAAATTATATTTTGAACAATCTGTTAAAACTGGTCCTTTAGATAAATTAGCTGAAGTTCATTATTATTTGGGTCAACTAACAACAAATGATGCCGATAGATCAAAATATCATTTAGAAATAAGTGCAAGTCAAGGTTTTTTACAATCTTTCCCATTATTAGGATTTTTAGAATTGAATTATTTTCAAAATTTAACAAAAGCAAGAGAATGGTTTAAATTAGGTTCAGAAATGGGTGATGTTCAATGTGTAATTGGATTATTTGATTGTTTTATTAAATTAGATGATTTGAAGATTGCAAGTAGATTATATCTAAACTTAAGAGAAAGTTTATCAAATTCAAAAGATCAAGAAGCACAAACAGTTTGGAAGCATTTCATTGAAAGTCGTGGAGACTCAATTAATAAAGTTAAAGATCTTGTTTATTCAAATGAAACTGTAACAGGTAATATAGTCAAAGATACATTATCATCACAATTGAATAAAAAGACTACAGATAAGAATAATAGATGGGGTATATAATAAAGATCATCATGTATATAAAAGGAATTATTCCCATGGCCATTTACAATAAACAATTACATCACCACGTCTTCTATCATCCCAATGGGAATACGTATTGAAAAATCTAGCACACTCTTGATATGGTGAATCTTTAATATAACTTGTAATTATAGGTTCTAAATCTTGGAACACGACTAAATGAGTTGGCCATTCATATTTATATTCTTTACCAGGTGATCTAAGTTTCTTATTGAAAACAGGTGGGAAATTTTGAAATAAAAATTTATTTGGATCTTCATAAAAAATATCAGATTCATCCATATATGATTCAACTTCTTTACTTGAATTATCTGAATTTAATAAATGTAATGGTGGTTCACAAGTTAAAAACCAAGTTGAATTAACCAAATCAGGTCTATGTAAATAAGATTGCCATGGTGTAGAATGACATGGTGTTAAAAACCCAATAGATTCAACATCTGGATCATTTTTCAAATATTCAATAACATCAATAACACCTCTTTCATGCCATTGAGTGAAAAATAATGAAATTAAAGTATTTATAATGATTATGAGATAAATTGAATATTTCACTAAGATTGGATGATGTAAATTTAAATGAAACCCACCATATGCTGTAATTAAAAAAATTATTGGTTGAAACGGATAAATAAATCTAAATTCTTTATGATCGATAAATGAAAAAACTCCAATAATTAGAACCAACAACCATTTTAATTGTGATTTTGGATAAACTTTTAAACCGTATATGAAAATTGGTAATGCGGTCATTAATATTATTGGTAAACTTTGAAAAATATGGAAATGCCATGGTGCAATACCATAAAATTTTGATAATGAAGTTGTAACGTTAAAGTTTATAAAATTCCAAATTGGAATTGTTAATGATCCATAATACCAATAATCTATTAATGTATTAATTCCAAATATAATTGAGCCAATTACAAAAGCATGCAAAAACAATTTAACTGTTTGAGAGAGTTTTTTGGAAAAGGCAAACCAAATTGATAAATATATCCATATTATACCATTTGTTGGTCTTATAACACAACTTATAGCTGAAAAAATCAAACTGACTTGGATTTTTCCCCAATTGATTTCATTATCCCAATTCCAATAAGCTAATGCTATTGATGTAAGTGTTAATTCTAAACTATTTGAAAAAGTTCTTGTAATAATATACCAATTAAATGCACTTGTTATAGAGATTAATAACCCCCATCTTGCGATTTTTTCATTTTTAGTCACTGAATAAATGAATGTATATAAGAAATATTCACCAATCCCTGCAATTATAGCTTGACCTAATTTAGGCATTATTAAGACACCAAAATCGCCTAATCCTAATAATTCTGATATCTGGTATAATCCACTGAATATTAATGGATGTATGAAACTTCTAAGACCTGTACGCCATTCCCATGTTAGGTAGCCATATCCATATACAAATTCATGTGCAGGTTCTAATGATTGCCAATATTCATCAGCTTGGAAAAATGTATTTATTGTGAATGCATTGATTATTCTAATAAAGATTAAGTATGGTAATATAAGACCTTTGGGTAGTTGTTCTTGACTCAATCTCTTTATAGCTTCTTTTGAATCTTCTTTTGATAGTGATTCTTGTTGTGTCTCATTGATTGGATCACTCATGTTTCCAATGGGATCTGTGGACTGTTTCGATGTTTTCAATGATGATGATGAACTGTTTTGATCTTTTTGGTGTACCTTTTCGCGTTTGTCTAGTAAGGAATAGTCAGAAATTATGTAAAAGGGAAGTATATTATATAGAGAATACTTAAAGAGAGGTTTTCATTCCGGTATATGTGTAGTAAAACGAATCAGGTTGTCAGTTTATTTGGTTACTAATGAGTCCATGAATGTGCTGAGGGTTCTTGTGTAACTCATTTCTCCCCCGTTAAAAGGGTAGCCAACAATTAACCACCATTTTTGAATACAAAAGGGAAACCTAGGTCTGTATGATCTTCTCAGGATAAACTACATATATCTTTCTTCCAAAATCAAAGGCATTCTCATTCTATTCACAAATTTCTAAACAAATTGGATATGTCGTCCACAAGCGAACCTAATTCTCAGACCGATGAGCTCAAAAAGAGCCCAGCACCAAGAAGTGGATTATACATGGATATTCTTTCTTCTCCTTTCGGCCATTTTTGCACTAAGCATCATATAGAGGCATCCATGAGAGCGCTGGTAATCCGAAAGTGTGTAAAATATGTGAAGAATCTTTAAAAGAGTCTGTAAAAGTAAAGAAAATTTAGCGCTGAAAATATTTTTATACGATTGAAAAAAAAAAAAAAAATTATTATTGTGAGATTATGTAATCCGTAGCATAGTGATTATATAATATGGTTAGGGTATAAACTCTTATACTTAATGGATCAATTTAGCTACATTCTGTATAAACAATAAACTTTTGATTATTATATTAGGTAAGGAGTTATGGTCTTGTAGTTACATCCCAATCTGTTGGCTCATAAGCTTCTGGATGTGAAATTGTTTCAATTTCTTCAGAACTTAATTCAAAATTATAAACATCCAAATTTGAAGATAATCTATCAACATTCTTAGTTTTAGGTAATGGGATATTACCTTTTTGTAAACTCCAACGGATTAATACTTGACCTGGTGTAACACCATGAGTTTTCGCAATCTTGACAACATTTGGATCATTAATTTTACCACCATGAGCTAATGGAGCATAAGCTTCCACTGCAATACCTTTAGATCTTGAATAATCTGCTAATTCTTGTCTCATACACCATGGATGAATTTCAATTTGATTAATTGCTGGTTTAATTTTTAAACCATCCCATGATAATAATTGATCAATATGATGTTTACCCCAACTTGAAACACCAATAGATTTGACTTTACCTGTTTCAACAACTTCTTGTAATGCTCTCCAAGCATCTAATCTTCCCTGTGGACCTGGATTTGGATGATGAAGTAATAATAGATCAATATAACCAATTGAATGTTCAATTGCACTTAATGCTGAGTTGATCTCCTTTTTAGTACGTTCATAAGAATTAAAAGTCCATAGTTTTGAAGTATAGAATACATCTTCTCTCTTGTTATTTACAGGATCTTCTCTTAACCATTTAGCAATAGCTTCACCAACTTCACGTTCATTATCATATAAGATTGCAGTATCAAAATGTCTATATCCCTTTTTTAATGCATTATAAACGACATTACTTGCTTCTGAACCTGATAATAACCAAGTTCCTAAAGCAACTGATGGAATGTTATAACCTGATGATAATTTAACGAATCTTTCAACTTTATGTGACATTATTTGTGGATTCTATAATAGATACTTGGTTTATAAAAGTTCAATTGCTATCATTTGCCATCTTTTTATATCATTTTGATGGTTGTGGCCTTTAGAGTTGTTATCACGTGAAGATCTCGGTATTAAATTACCCTTTATAGAAATTACCTGCAAAAAAATCTACAAAAGGTACTGAATGAGACATAAAGAAACAATGGGTATTAATTATTACATTAAAAGAATTGAAAAAACGCTATAAATTACTAAGAAAATAGGGTATCAAATTATTATGGACTTGCTCTTGCTGCACTCCAACTATTTCTTGGAATTATTGGTGATTGGAAATTAGAGATTTCATGTTCAGATATCTTTTCAATTGGTGAATTTTTAAGATCTGATAAACTTGTTCTTGTCGATATTCTTGGATATAATCTTGTTGGACTTGAACCTAATGAGCCATAAGTTGAAACAGATCTTTTACTTCTTGGACTAATTGGTGAATTATTAAAATCTTCATTCAAATTTCCAATTGGTGAAATTTCAAAATTTGCAACACTATGTCTTTGTCTTAATTTTGTTGGTGTTATTGGAAGATCTAAACTTGGAGGACGTGAACGACCATTAGAAGAACCAAATCTAGCAGAATTAATATTATCCATCAATGGACTTTTCAAACTGTTATTGCTGCTGTTATTACCATATTGATTCTTGGAATATTGAAGATTATCAAAACTTGTTTCTCTTGACATTGGTTTTTCAAAATTAAAAGTATTATCTCTACCATTAATTGTATTTGATCTTTTTGGAATGGTAAAATCATTAAAATCTTCATCAGCTAATAATGTATCTTCAATATTATGACATTCTCTTTTATTTGGAATAATACCACTTGATGGTCTTGAATGTGTTGTTGTTACATTTGATCCAATACTCATAAATGAACTTTGACTGTTTTTTCTTCTTAATGTTGGAGAAGATAATCTAAATCTTGAACCATTAGATCCATTTGCTGAGTTATTTAAACTATTTGGTGGTGATGGTTTTTTTGATAAATTCGTTAATGATGATTTTCTTCTTAATTTATTAAAACTTGATGATAATGAAATTGAACTTGATGAAATATCACGTTGATGGAATGATCTTGATCCAGCTTGAGAATTTGAAGATTGTAACATTACTGGTGATGATAATACTCTTGGTGTGGTGTTATCTAAACCAAGTTCTGGTGGGATTGTGGTTGGTCTTGGTGGTGGTGCTTTATTGTATGATACAGGTTTCTTATTTGAGTCATCAACTGAATGAATAGGTGGTGTAGAATTAGCAGTGGTATATGAACTTGAATTATCACTTTTGGGGGATAAATTTGGAGATTGTAATGGAGATGGCGGTAATGGTATAGCTGGTGCTTTTGGTTTTGATGAATTTTGACGATGATAATCTAACCTTTTCTCAATAAAATCATCAAGATTTTCATTTTCTTTCCCATTAATAGTATTACTACTGCTAGTATTCACATATTGATTTGATTTAATGGATTTAATACTTGCAGAGTCATTGGTCATATTATCCAATAATTGTTTTCTCAATAATTTATTCTCCTTCTTCTTTTGATTATGATATTCAATCATATCAATAGAACTAACACCAAAATTGATTGAATTTCTTTGAACTTCATTATATAACCATTTTGAATGTCTCTTATGTCTATTTGATTTTGGAGTTTGAGTTAAAGGTGCAGTTTGTTCAAAGTTTTCAGCGGCAAACTGTGAAAAATCTATTGATTCTTGAGGTATTGGTGATTTAGGAAGACTTTTGGTAAGATATCTCAACTTATTTATATCCACAACTTGTGCTGTTTGACTCATGGTTCTTTAGAATATCCTGATACTTTATTGACCTAGCTGTTTATTCAAGGAAAGATTATTTTGAGGAACTATTGATGAAGCTTTATATAAATCCTTGAGATTTGAGCCCAGTCAATTTCAAACCTCAAAATACTGATCAGTGATCGTACTAGCTAGCCAGATTATTTTTGACCCTATCCAACAACAATGCTGTTTTATGCCTGTTGGTCTAAAATGTTGCCCTTTTTCTCTTTTTTGTTATTAGGAAATTTCAGTATTTTCTAACTAAAAGCAAATTGAATTTGATCAAAGTTTTAGGAAACTTTAATCTAAATTTTGACGTTTGTTTGTTATTGTTATTGTTATTTGAACAAAGGGTTTGATAAAAAGTTAAACTTATAGAAGTTTGCTCTTTTATATATTCAGATACTTCATTTGCTGATCCATTTTTTAGTTTCAATTAATCTAGATCAAATGGTTTTCCCCTTTTCGGAAATATCTTCTTATACATGAAAAACTGCAACGAAGGAAAAAAAAAATACCTGAATCATGCTTATTCCTGGTTAAAGAGATTCTTATTGGTCAAACAGTCTGCATACTTCACAGTCTCTGTGAGGTTTGAAAGATTTTGTGTGCGTTAATGTCGTTAACATGGGTGTTCTCTGTTTATATAGGGGTAAAAAACTCAAGAGACACTTTAATTAGCAGATAATCACTATTATTTTTAGTCCTGTTTACCCTAATATATATGTGATTTTATGTTATTAAGAGTCTCATCATTTGAACGGTTTCATGGATATTTAAAACTGACTGTCCAGGGTCATTTGCCTTCATAGTTGTAGCTTGAGTGGATCATATTAACCGAGCTAGTATACCTCGAATGAACAGCTTACAAGGTCTTTCTCAGACATCTGTATTAGTGAGCTCTGTGTATAATTACAAAGGTAAGATAGTGTATCTGCAAATTTATCTAGTATTTTGTATAAGTATAAGCATTTTTGTATTGTGATATGATCATATACAATAATATCGGTATGAGATCGCACTACTAGTTACTAATTTTATAGAGATTATATATTATATCGATAGAATACCACGTCTAATCAGTTCATAAGTGCTCATGAGATTAACTAAACATCAAGCAAAAGATATCAATCTAACAATTACCCGTGGTCTTAATTCAACATATCACATCTTTGTGAAAGTAAATTGTTTGAATAACTAATAATATTTGATCCTCAAATCAATTTGGCCGCCTAACCTTAACGAGTCGCGGTCATATATCACGGGCTCTGTAACCATTCCCTTTGGGGAACACATCCCGGCTCATAAAAGTCATAAAACATGATGTTGACCTAAATTAATGACACTTTTCACTGCCCAAAGCAACCATTATCATTTAATTATTTAATTATCAGTCAATTGTACTCTTAGTATGTAATATCACTTAACTATCATAGATCTTTATCAACACTTTACAGCCAAGATCACGCATTCTCAGCCTAAATACTTTATCCGAAGGCTTACCGAAGGCTTAGGATTAAGATTATCGTGATTCGTGACAAATTTTTAAAGCTTATTTACGATTCTTGGAAGCTTAAATATCCGATAATTATATAACATAATCACTAATTGAGGGTCTTTATCTGAGGTATATAAAGAAGCAGGGTCCTGTCTTTTTTTCAACCTACTTGAGTTCCGTTCAAGTATTCTTCATTCAATCAATCACAGTTTCATTAATACTTCTAAATGTTAAGCATACGATTGTTCTATAAAGTCTTTGGGTTATTTGCATTATATGTTAGTACTATCAATTGTCTTAGTTCCATACCTTTGAACCAAACTACATCTGAATTACATTCAATCAAAGATGAAATAGATTCAAAATCAACAATTATATTAGAAGACACCACAACTTCAGTTGAACTGCCGTCTAAAGAAACATCAGAAGTTATTAAATTATTCCATGATGATAGTGTTATACCATTAGAATTTGCTGAAGCTTTGGATAAAAGAAGAGGTGGTTTTAGAGGTGGAGGTAGTCGTGGTGGATCTAGTGGATTCAGTGGTTCAAGTGGTTCATCTGGTTCATCTGGCTCAAGAGGTTCTAGTGGTTCTAGTGGTTCAAGTGGTTCAAGTGGTTCAAGTGGTTCTTCTGGAAACTCTGGATTTTCAGGTTCATCTGGATCAAGTGGTAGTAGTGGTAATAGTGGTTCATCTGGCTCATCTGGATCGAGTGGTAATAGTGGTAATAGTGGTTCATCTGGCTCTTCTGGATCAAGTGGTAATAGTGGTTCAAGCGGTTCATCTGGCTCATCTGGTTCAAGAGGTTCCAATAGCAACAACAATGGCGGTAGAGGTGGTGCCGCTGCTGGTGCTTTAGTAGGTGGTGGTATCATTTATTATTATTATGATCATAATCATCGTGTTGTCAGTACTGCTACTAGTCATGTTTCTTCTACTAATGATACCATGACTTCTTCAGTCTTAATTAATGGTGCTAGTTCATTCACACCATTGAGAACTAATAATTTACCAATAAAAGCAAAATTATCATTTATGATTCCTTCAATTCTTATGGTTTTGGTTACTTTAGCTGTTAGTCTTTTATAATCATACTTTTTTTTATCTTCAATAATTTAATTTAACGTCAACATATAATGTTTTATGAATACCTTCAGTAGCAAAGTACTACCTAATTAACAAAACATCTATAATTTCAATACTACATTAATTAAGTAAAACTCACGAAATCATGAATTGGATTGATATATATCTATGTATACTTTTATCAACAATCAAAAATGGAAGAGTAGAATGAAAACAAACAAAATTGAAAATACACAGTACTATAACCGAAAAAATATTCAGCTATAGCCTTTGCATATATTATCTGGAAACATTTGAATTAAAAGGAGCTTGACCTAACTCGATTATAATATTATGATCAAAGCTTGTTGCAGCTTGAACGTAACGAAATAAAAACAATTATATATAATGAACTTTAAACGATTTTAAGCAAAATTAGTAGCAAGATAAGAACTGAAGGGTTAATTGAAATTGTGTATCATATCAGAACATGACAACAAATACTGCAGAAATTATAGAAATAAACCAGTTAATAACATTTGATGATCCTGCACCTTCTGATGGTTGAACAGAAACTGTTGGTGTTGAAGCACCTGAGGAACTTGTACCTTGAGTAGCAACTGTTGGAACTGAAGAGGCATCTGGTGAACCTGGGCTTGTTGTTTGTTGAGCTGATGAACCTTGAGCTGGAGTAGATCCTTGAGCTGAGGTTGAACCTTGAGCTGGAGCTTCACCGGTAGAAGATGGAGAACCGTTACCTGTTTGGCCTTCTGATGGTTGATTTGGTGATGAACCTGGGGTATTAGTAGCTGGAGATTCTGGAACATTTGTACTTTCTGGTGATCCTGGGGTAGTTGGTGTTGTTGTAGTTACTGGAGTTACTGGAGAGCCTGTTTCACCTGTTGTACCAGCTTCAGTACCTGGAGATGCCGGATTGACTGGTGTTTCTGAAGCAATAGGATTTTCTGGAGTTGCAGGGGTACCTTGACCATTGTTAGTTGGAACTGAACCACCATTTGTAGTAGTTGGAGCTTCTGTTGGCTTAACTGGACCTGGTGCTGGACCTGATGAACCTGATGGACCGTTTGTTGGAGCTGGGGCCGGACTTGGAGCTGGAGCTGTATTTTCAGTAGTTGGAAGAGGACAGTATGTTGTAACTTCAGTGACAATACCATTTGTGGTTTGAGTTAAAACAGTAACACCTGTTGTGACGGGATAAGGTGCACATTTATCATCAGCACATGAAGTTATTGTAATTATTGTGGTTGAAATGTGGTCATCGTCACTCTGAGTTGTTGCAGTTTGATCATCATTATTAGATGTTGTTGAAATTGGACAATAAGTAGTATAATCTGTAACAACCCCATTTGATGTTTCAGTAATAACGGTGACACCAGTGGTTATTGGCTGGACAGTACATCCATTATTACCATCACAGGATGTTATAGTGATAACTGTGGTTGAATCAGGACCAGTTGCAGTTGATGTTGAGACATATGCATCAGTAGTGATACTTGGAGCTGGATTAGCAGTTGTTGATGTTGAGACATATGCATCAGTAGTGATACTTGGAGCTGGATTAGCAGTTGTTGATGTTGATGGTGTATCTGGCGATGAACTTGATAAATCTGTAGCTGTTGGAGCTGGCACTATTGAGTTATCATCAGATGAAGATGCAGATGAGCTTTCTGATGTAGAGACATCTGAAGAGGTGGAAGGGAGCTCTGATGAAAATGCTGAAGATGATGATGACCCTGATGATGATGATTGAGCAAACGAGCTTGAGGATTCAGCTGAAGAAGATGATGATGATGCACCTGGGTCGAAAGAACTTGATGATGATGATGATCCTGGGTCGAAAGAACTTGATGATGATTCTGATGATGATACTTCGGAGGATGATGAACCTTCTGAAGAACTGGATGGTGTATCAGAAGAAGAAGATGATGATGAAGGAACTTCTGATGAGCTTGAAACAATAGAAGAAGAGCTTGATGATTCAATTGATGAGCTTGAGCTTTCTGAGCTTTCTGATGACGCTGAAGAGCTGGAATCGGATGATGAACTTGAAGATACCTCGGAAGAACTTGAAGATCCTTCGGAAGAACTTGGTGGTACAGCAGAAAAACTAGAAACTTGTGTTGAGCTGGATGTGCTTTCTGATGAGCTTGAAGAAACTTCTGAGGAACTGGAAGATTCTGATGAGCTTGAAGACTTCTGAAGAGCTTGATGAGGATTCAGATGAGCTTGAAGATTCAGATGAGCTAGATGATACCAGTGAAGAGCTTGAAGATTCTGATGAGCTTGATGGTACCTCTGAGGAGCTTGAGGATTCTGAGGAACTTGATGATACTTCTGATGAACTTGATGATACTTCTGATGAACTTGATGATACTTCTGAGGAGCTTGACGATTCTGATGAAGATGATGATGTTGGTGATGATGATGATGATGAAGATGATGATGAAGATGACGAAGATGACGAAGATGACGAAGATGATGAAGATGATGATGAAGATGACGAAGATGACGAAGATGATGAAGATGATGAGGATGATGATATAACTGGATCACATATTCTGTTGACGAAAGCAAGACAATCCCAACTAACAATTTCACCTTGATAAACGACACCGTTGTATGTTGCAAGTGCCTGAATGAAATAAGTTTGACCATCTTTGGCCCATTCAACCTGGAAATCAGGACCTAAACAGATTGGAGGTGTGACATCTCTATCTTCTGGACAAGCTGCATCAACGTCATATTTGAAATAAACAGAACCTTGTTCTAAATTAACTTCACCGTCATAGTTGTAATTTTGTCTATAAACATTGTATGTATCAATAGGAGCTTGGTCAGCATCAAATTCTTCATTGAATTTAAACCACCATTGGAAATGATAAGTCTTGGTACCACTTGTATCTGGATCATCAGTAGTAATAACATAAGCCGCTTGAAATGGTACATTATTCACAGACTGTCCGCTAGCATGTGAAGCATAGACAATACCAGGAAGATCTGTAAGAGTTTGAACATCTGTAGTGACGGTAGGAACTGGTATAACAATTTGAGCAAGAACTGCAGTTGTGAAAGCTGTGAGTAACAGTATTATTGAACTAAATAGCTTCATTTTCCTTCTAATTCCACTTGTAAAGTTCAAGAAGCTTTCTTATATGTCTAATTGTATTGAAGGCTTAAACTATCCCTTCATTCATTCTTTTGAATCAAGATAATATCATCCTTTTATACTAGATTGCAAAATCCTGAAATCTGAGTGTACAAAAGAAGCTCGATGCCTCCAAGCTCCAGAGATGCAGGTGAAAAAACTAACATGTACATGTACCTATGTACGTATGTACCTATAGATATAATTATTAATTATAACTTCCATGAGTACAAAAGATAGCCGGGAAAGCTTTCTACATGAACTCAACTTGAAAAGAATATGCGCAATGGTCAATCTTGATTCTTGAGTATACAGTGTTCCCCAAATAGACTTTTAATAGTACTAGCTGGTACTAGGTAGCCCATACCATTTTCATCGTTAAATATGCTGCTATATATCCCGTTGATAATAGCAATGTTGAGACCATTTGATCTTGAGCATGAGCCACTATCTATGTTGCTAGCGCTAGATATATTAGCATATATTTAGTACTAATATTTGTTTTGCAAAACTACTCATCGTATATAGTACAATATTTATAAATAATTATCAACTCACGAAATCATGAATTGACTATAAACATCTATATTATATAATATATATACTGATCTATAAATAATTAATCAAAAAGTGGATAAGAATAATGGGGATTCAAACAAAAAAATAAAGAATGTTGAAAGTAAGCTGGTAATGATAACTAATTGATAGTCATATTCCAAATACATTGTATGTAAGTATAGAAATAAAAGAGTTGAAAATCCAAGTATATTATATCATGCAATGATCTTATTGAACTTGAGCCTTTAACGTTAAAAGAAATGATATTAACAAGGTATAAGCAGAATAACAAACTGAAAATATGTGAAAAAATAATTGAAATATATGTTGAAAATCAAAAGGATCATAACATGACAACTAAAGCTGCTGATATCATGGAAATAAACCAATTAATAACATTTGATGACCCTGTACCTTCAAATGGCTTAACAGAAGCAGTTGGTGCTGAAGGAGCTGGGGAGGTTGAACCTTGAGTGATAATTGTTGGTTGAGCTGATGTACCTTTGTCTGTAGTGGAACCTTGATCTGGTTTATCAGTGGTTGTAATTGAGTAGTGTAATCTGTAGTGACACCATTTGAAGTTTCAGTAATAACAGTGATACCAGTGGTAATTGGTTGAGTAGTATATTGACTGTTATCATCACAAGTAGTAACAGTGATAACGGTAGTTGAATCTTCATGTTTTGTAGTAGTTTGATCAGCATTCTTTGATGTTGTTGGAATTGGACAATAAGTGGTGTAGTCTGTAGTAACACCATTTGAGGTTTCAGTGATAACAGTGATACCAGTGGTAATTGGTTGAGTAGTACATTGGCTATTATCATCACAAGTAGTAACAGTGATAACGGTAGTTGAATCTTCATGTTTTGTAGTAGTTTGATCAGCATTCTTTGATGTTGTTGGAATTGGACAATAAGTGGTATAGTCTGTAGTAACACCATTTGAAGTTTTAGTAATAACAGTGATACCGGTGGTAATTGGCTGAGTAGTACATTTATCATCATCACATGAAGTTTTTGTAATAATTTTGGTTGAAACGTTACCATCATCACCATGAGTTGTTGTGGTTTGATCAGCATTCTTTGATGTTATTGGAATTGGACAATAAGTGGTGTAGTCTGTAGTAACACCATTTGAGGTTTCAGTGATAACAGTGATACCAGTGGTAATTGGTTGAGTAGTACATTGTGTATTATCATCACAAGTGGTAACAGTGATAACAGTGGTTGAATCACCATGTTTTGTTGTAGTTGAATCACCATTTCTTGTAGTATGATCAGCATCTTTAGATGTTGTTGGAATTGGACAATAAGTAGTGTAATCCGTAGTGACACCATTTGAAGTCTTAGTAATAACTGTAATACCAGTGGTAATTGGTTCAGTAGTACATTGACTATTACCATCACAAGTAGTAACAGTAATGACGGTGGTTGAATCGTCATGTCTTGTTGTAGTGTGATCAGCATCTTTGGATGTTGTTGGAATTGGACAATAAGTAGTGTAGTCTGTAGTAACACCATTTGAGGTCTCAGTAATAATAGTGATACCAGTTGTAATTGGCTGAGTAGTACAATGACTGTTATTATCACAAGTAGTAACAGTGATAACTGTTGTAGAATCACCATGTTTTGTTGTTGTTGATGTTGAAGTATTTGCATCAGTGGTGATACTTGGAACTGAAGAGTTTGTTGGAGCTGGTTTACCTGTTGTTGATGAAATTTTTGGGTCATCAGATTTTGATGATGTAGATGGTATTGAACTTGTTAAATGTGTAGATGTTGAAACTGGTGTTCCGGACTTATCATTAGTTGATGATTCTGATGAGCTTTTTGATGTGGATATATCAGTAGATGTGGTTGACAACTTTGATGAAAATGATGAAGAAGATGATGATCCTGAAGTTGAAGATGTAGCAAATGAACTTGAGGATTTAGCTGATGTTGATGATGATGATGATGATGCTGGATCGAAAGAGCTTGATGATGACATTTCTGAAGATGATGAGATTTCTGATGATCTGGATGATAAATCTGAAGAGCTTGATGGTGAACCTAATGAGCTTGATGGTGAACCTGATGAGCTTGATGAGACAGCTGAAGAGCTAGAAGAGACATCGGATGAGCTTGATGGTGAACCTGATGAGCTCGATGAGACATCTGAAGAGCTAGAAGAGACTTCTGATGAGCTTGATGGTGAACCTGATGAGCTAGAAGAGACTTCTGATGAGCTTGATGGTGAGTCTGATGAGCTTGATGGTGAAACTGATGAGCTTGATGAGGCTTCTGAGGAGTTAGATGATGCATCTGATGAGCTAGAAGAGACATCAGATGAGCTTGATGATGAACCGGATGAGCTTGATGAAACTTCGGATGAGCTTGATGATGCACTTGATGAGCTTGATGAAACTTCTGAAGAGCTTGATGATACACCTGAAGAGCTTGATGAAACTTCTGAAGAGCTTGATGATGCATCTGAAGAGCTTGATGAAACTTCTGAAGAGCTTGATGATGCATCTGAAGAGCTTGATGAAACTTCTGAAGAGCTTGATGATACACCTGAAGAGCTTGATGAGACAGCTGATGAACTAGAAGAGACATCGGAGGAGCTTGATGAAGCTGATGAGGTTGATGAGGTTGATGAGCTTGATGAAGCTTCGGATGAGCTTGATGAAGCTTCGGATGAGCTGATGAAGCTTCGGATGAGCTTGATGAAGCTTCGGATGAGCTTGATGAAGCTTCGGATGAGCTTGATGAAGCTTCGGATGAGCTTGATGAAGCTTCGGATGAGCTTGATGAAGCTTCGGATGAGCTTGATGAAGCTTCGGATGAGCTTGATGAGACAGCTGATGAGCTTGATGAGACATCTGATGAGCTTGAACTTGATGATGATGATGAAGATGAGGAAGAAGAAACTGGATCACATATTGCGTTGACAAGTGCAAGACAATCCCAACTGACTTTATCACCGTTATAAGGTACACCGTCGTATGTTGCACTAACTTCAATGTTAGCGAAGCTGGAAACACTTCTGCTTATTTCAAACTGGAAATCAATACCTGAACAAAAATTAGGTGTGACCTTATCTCTATCCTCTGGACAAGATAGATCGACATCATATTGCAAATACATAGCACCTTGTTTTAAATTAACTTCACCCTCATAGTTGTATGGGCTTCGACCACGACCACTGTAGATCTCAATAGGAGCTGATTCTGCATTAAAATCTTCATCAAATTTGATCCACCATTGAAATTGATAAGTTTTAGTACCATTTGTATCCGGATAATCATCAGCAGTAATAACATAAGCAGCTTCAAATTGTTTGCTGTCCGCAGAATGAGTATGTGATTCATGAACAATACCTGGGAGATCTGTGAGAGTTTGAACATCTGAAGTGATGGTTGCGGCTGGTACATATTCACTAGAAGCAGTAACAGCCGTTGTGAAGGCTGTAAGCAATAGAGCTATTGATTTAGATAACCTCATTTTCCTTCTAATTTTCAATATTTAGAAGTCAAAAATTTGATTTTTAATTCTATTTGAATACCTAAACCATCCCCTTCTTCCAATATCTCTTGATTGAGGATACTATCATCTTTTTATATTAGATGGTCAAAAGTTTGAAGTCTGACTGAAATAATCTTGATGCCTCGATATTGTTCTAATATGATCACTTTGAAATATATATTTACAATATCATTTTAGATTTGATCCATGCTATTAGCTGCATCTTCATATACGTTGAAGCGGATATTTATAGACACAATGATGGGTTAATATGTAGGCTTCACCTTCCCCTGATTCCCCTGTCTAAGACCAAGTCTAACTTTGATATCATCGAGATTCATATGAATAGCCGTCAGTTTTTCTAGACACTATGATAGACAATGTCAAGTTTCTTCAAGATATCCCAAATTACAATGTGATTTTACGCGAAAAGTAGTGAACAATAATTATCCAGGCTCCAGAGTCCACTAAAAGGATAATTATTAAACGTTTAATTCCAGATCTCAGAACTGCTGGTCATATTAGACATTCCAAATATAAATAGAGATATTAAAGTTGTTCAAAATAATTATTTGGTCAACTAACGTGTATTTGTTTATAAAATTTGTGCAATACTTGTATATGATTTAAACGTCAAGCACTCGGGGTTTGAACACCCTAGGCGAAATTTTGTATGGCACATAGTACGTGCCTGATTATTGTCATATATTAATATTATTTTATAATGAAAGCCGTATGTATACATGCAAGGCTAAATCTCGCAAGTTCTATATTAGTATAAGCCGCTGGTTTATAAATAGTTAGTAGTATAATATAACAAAACTATTCATATAGTTAAAGTTATCTACTCTAATTACATATATCATATATAGTAGTGGTCTATAACATCTTACTATTGATCAAGCTGCTACAATATTAGCGAACGAGAAATCGTTAATCCGTATTATAATAGAACAGAGAACACACACGGTATATGCAATCCATAATAGTACAGCTTGCATGTCTAATTCTCAATCATCTTAACTAGCGAAAGATGTATAACTAAAGCTAAATTTTACGCTTCAAGGTTTGACTCAAAACGGGACATATATAAATACATAATTGATGCAATGTATGCATCTTGACTAGAGTACTATTGTTTAATTTGGTGCGATTACTTAACAATAGATTTAGTTAATAGTAAATATTATTTGAATTATTATGCAGTATAGTAATATGTAAGATTCATATATATTACTGAAGAAATTATGATCATTGCACTCATAATCTCTTTGCTAAGTGCTAAATGACCTTCAATACTTTATTTAGCTTATAAGATAGGTATTCGCGTCTCCTTCACCATATAACGATTAGTCACAGCTAGATCTTGTACTAAATGAATCTTTTGAGACGATATTAATATTGTAGTTATTTATAACAGTCTGCACTGTTAAACTTTAAGATTGACTAAGGGACCTATAAATCCACATCGACTATATTATACATCAATTATACTTGCGGATCTAGCTGAAGCCTGAGATTAGACTGTACCGCTTTGATGTAAATATTGATGTAATGGTATATGTGTAGAATCATGAGCTAGCTCAAAGCAATTTGTTTTTAGGCCCTGTATATCATATTATATAATATAAGTTAGTTAATTAAGTTACTGCAAATGAACTCATTTTTTCCGTGCTCAGGTACTAGTTGTTGTCTAAATATATGTCATTCCTTTCCTTATATGGTATTTGTGATATAGATCTTTCTGTTTTTGGTATTCTTATAATGTTCATATAAACAAGCTGCCGTTGTCCATCTTCAAGAGCTTACCAATATTTTATTCTTAATCATTCTTTATATTTAATAAAGTTTTGACTAATGGGCCTATTTATATTTAGGTTTAAAATATACGCGGGATTGAAATCTTTGAAATCTCTTAAAACGATGCGTCCTCTACCGTGAGCGTCTCCTACCGAAAACAATACGTTCTAGAAATCTGGAACTGAAGTTTTTAGAGAGATCTATAATATCAACAACTTTGGAAGACTTCAAAAAGCGTATAGGTACTATGCAAATAGTATCATGAGTGAATCACATTATGATAGGACATCAAAGTGCCTAATCTAATTTATCAGTTTACATTCATCAATTTCGAAAACCTTGTGAATCTTGCTCTCAGAAAATAATAACAGGTTGTTTGTTTATTTTAGATTTAGAATACAATTTGTTAGCTCAAGATGTTCTTTGGGATGCTATTGTGACGCTCAGGTTGGAGATTTATTCGAATAAAACTACTGTGTGCTTTGCTTTTTGGATGTTATCTAGTGAGCTCTTCAGCTTTTTGATTGATTATTTATGTTCACAAACCCAAATTTCCTAAAGTCGGGAGCCATCCACAAAACCAAATCTTATAAAACATCAATGTCCAAATTACAATTTCTACAAACTTTTCTTTACCGGATACCACAAGTGATCACTATATCGTTTACATTATCAAGTCATTAATTTTTGCTATATTATAATAATATTTTTTGCTTACATCTAATTTTTTTTGTTATACCAAACTCTATTGTTCACACCCAACAGCTTATTATTTCACAGTTAATTCACCACTAAATCTTCAAGATGAAAATTGATTATTTAACCATTTTAACAATTCTGTCATTGATTGAGCTTTCAGTCTCATTACAATCATCACCAAATGATAGAAAATTCAAACAAATTGTTCCAAAAGCTGTCACCTCCAAAGTCCAAACTTCACCTGGTTCTCTGAATAAGTTTCATTATAGTCAATTGAACAAAGCAAATATCCCCTTTGTCGAAGATGACTTTACAGTTATTAATAATGCCGCTATTGGTCAAAATGATGCTAAACTGAAAGTTGTTCATGTTCAATTACAAAACCATTATTCAAAAGATAAAGATCTGATTAAAAATTTAGATAAATCAAATATTGAAGCTCAGTATGACTTGAAAAAAAACACTGATGAGAAGTTATTTGACTGGGCAAGCATTAATAGACTGGATGAAGATGAAGACAATAACGAAGGTGAAGAAACAAATGCTCCTAAACAGAAAAGTTCAAGTAAAAACTCATGGTCTGGGAAATCGTGGTCAGATTCCAAAAGACAACGTTTGGATGAAAAATTTAGTGATACTAAGAAAAGAGTTATGGATAGTTTTAATTCGAAGTCACCAAATGATATTAATGGGTATAGTGGATTCTCAGGAT